CTATGTAGCCAATGCTGCACAAGATTACAACCGCTAGAATCACTGAGATAGAAATAATCACTGATCTGAACTTCACAGAAGATTTTGTCCTTTCGTTTAATGACCCCGGTTCTGGAGACACAGGCAACAAGATTTTCATTTTATTGAGTTCTAAATGTGGAGATGACACAGAATCTTTAAGCCACCAAAATTTTGCTCTGAGATAAAATGGCATTGCATGCAGGCTAACAAAGAGCATATGATAGAATCAAAAGAGCTATGTAAATAATCAAACAGGTAAAGTAAAGTTTAAGCATACCTGAGGAACAATTTATGCCTAAGGCGTTCCATTTGAAACCCGATTTGCATTGGCACCTTCCCTGCCCTCGCTTTGTAGCATTGCAAGTTGAGTTTGGCCAATCCTCACAGTCAGTAGAAGCATTACATGTTGGCTCCAATGGAGGATTCCAACTGATCTCTATACTATTTTTGCCTTGACTCAGTAAATGACCAGTATCATTATAACACCAGTTTTTCACATTGAATGGTAGTGAACTGTTAAGGAGTTTGACTCCATAAGCCGGATTTCTGGTATTACAACTATCATAATATTCTACAGGGACTTCAATCATAAAACTTCGGTTCTCCAAACTGAAATCAGTGACAGGATAGGATCCTTTCAATGTTTGGAAACATGTAGCGCCAGTACCATTCAGAACATAAAGATTTCCATCTTCTTTAACGACGACAACTCCAGAAGAATCCGAAATTGGAGAATCCCTGTTGGCAACCCAGACAATTGTTAGGGTGTTCACATTGTAATACCAAATGCCTACATACCAGTTTAAATGTTCTTCATCTGGAAAGAAACCAAGCTCAAATCTTTTCCCAGCTGAAACAAGTGTGTCATCCTCAGTTAATAAACTGCTTCCGGTGGTGATTGCGTCTCTACCATGACATGATGGAAGCATAAACCACATTAAGAAAGCACACAAGAGCTTGCAGATGTACTGCATAGTTGCAGATTAATTATTGAATGTTTGTTAAGACCATGGGATTTGATGATAACAAGTCTTTATTGACTTTGTCAATAATCGTCACCAAGTTGCTCTCCCATCAATCTGAATGCAGTATAGACTTTATTGACTTTTTGTACTTCACTAGAAATACTGCATTAATTTGAACCGCTCTTGAAAAAATTAGTAGCAATTCTCTTTATAATTAGGTGGGGTATACCAATTCTAGTCCATCCTTAAATTAGTAGCAATTCCCTTAATGGTAGGTGGGGTATACCAATTCTAGTCCATCCTTATACCATGGACTAGTTCATAGTGTATTATGGATCTGGTGTTATGTGTCTTATATTGTGAGGTTTTTATCTTTTGTGTTATAAAATTCTATACCTTAAAAGTTAAAATAAATTAGTAAATGTGTCTTGATACTATAAATACGGGCGTACATGTAGAGTATCGAATAGGGCACTTGGGATTGAGATCCTTTGACAATAGGTTGGGAGCTTCTGATCAAGTAGCTTCTGTGTGAAGTAGTTCAAAAGTCCCCCTCCACAACAATAAATGAAGTATTTATAGGAGAGATAAGGAGACACGGTCTGGGCCACCGGCATGGAGGGCACATGGCCCTCATGCACCTGGCGAAATTGGGGTCGAGAGAGCTTGCAACACGTGGTGATATATGTCGGATGACCGCTCTGCGAGGCATAAACCGGGACTGTGCCCTGGAGGTCGGTCTCGAGGTAGAGGCTGGGCGATTCAAGGTTTGGGGCTCGGTTTGACCAGATCGGGAAAGACGGTCGGTATCAAGAGTTTTTGATGGGGACAGTCGGGTTGTCCCTGGAACAACACGGGGCCCTGGTACCGACCGTAGAACAACCCGTACACGAAGGTAATATCCCCATCATGTCTTATGTTATGAATTGTTATGTCTTGTGTTATGAAATCTTGTGCCTATGAACACAAATTATGTACCTAAATTAAATTTGAAAAATAAATAAATATATAACATATGTACGTGTCTTGTGTTGTGATTTTTGTGTCTGAATTATGAAATTATGTACTTTACGAGTATAAATATAATATTATACATCGTCATTTGATCTATAATTTATAATGCTACGTAGACCATGATCCATAATATAAATTGCGAAAGTATATACGAGCATGAACAAGAGAAAGTCCAAGTTGCAAGATGCTAATAACTATCCACATCTTCATATACCATAATTGATAGTAATTCTTTCTCAACAGTATATTCTCAAAAAAATATTGTCGGCCCATCAATTGACCTACATTAATGGACAGTCGTTATACCGTGCACCGTGGTGCATAATCGATTATGCACCGCGCGTTAAAACGGTGCCTTTTTCTACAATTATAACAGAGTGATACTACACTGCATCTAAATCGACACTGTCTCACGTATTATTTTTATATTTTCAAATAAAACTGCAGTTATATCAAAATGATATTGTAGTTGTGGTGAAATGAAACTATAGTATGTATAAAATGAAATTAAATAACATTTCACATATTTGAGTGTATATTGTACAATGAAGCTGTAATTATATTGAAATGATCATGTAGTTGTGTTTTAATGAAACTATAGTGTATATAAAATAAAATTAAATAACATTTTCACATATTTGAGTGTATAAATATTGAATGAAACTGGAGTTATATCGAAATGAAACTGTAGTTGTGTTGAACTGAAACTGCAGTGCATACAAAATGAAATTGAAGAACAGAGTTATTTTTTGCGAAAATTCTGTTTCTTTTCATTAAATAAATCGACGTCGTTTTGATGCGCGGTACATAATCGATTATGCACTGCGGTGCACAATATAATTTGCCATTAATGGAATAGAAAGAGAAAAGAAAAAAGAAAAAAAAAGTAGTTTAGGATTAAAAAAGTGTATTTTTTCTTAAAGAAATTATCACATACATTAAGTCGTTTATTAATATTGCCAATGAAAGTGCAAAAATGTTCCAAAACGAGTGATCGGTTAAATGAAGTTATCAACATGAGTTAAGTACTGATTGCAAGTTTTTTTCAAATACATTAAAATAAAGTGCAAAAATAATAAGGTAATTTTTAAATTTTTATTAGTGCGAAAAGAAATTCGTAATCTTTGAGCAGTCAAACTTATGCCCGGATGGATCTCATTTAATTATCGGCCTTCCACCACTGAAACAGTCAATTCGTTGTTGGAATAGGCGCATATATTGGACAAAGAAGAAGACACCCTTTCAGAGACGCGCCTCCTTGCTACAAACGCCGGCTGCTTCGGCCGTGGAAGACTCATGTTTTCCGTCACTAACATTATAACAACATTCGACATTGTTGGCCGGTCGTTTGGATCTTCTTGCACGCATAACAACCCCATGTTTATGCACTTCATCACTTCACTTTCATTGCAAGACGAGACTAGAATCGGATCCATCATATCCAGTGCCTTCTCTTCCATCCAAAACTTCCATGCCTGCAGACACGTACAGTTACACAATTTTCACCCGTGAACATATATATAATGATATGATGGGTCTATTTAATTTGCAGAATGTAGTGTAATAAGCTTTTAATGCTCACATGGCCTAAGAGGTTCAAGGATTCTTGAGATTGGAAAAACGATGTGTTTATCCTCCCGCTGATGATCTCCAGTACTACAACACCAAAACTAAATACGTCTGATTTGATTGAGAAGAGCCCTTCCAATGCATATTCCGGTGGCATGTACCCACTTGCAAAACAAAAACGATGATCAAAAGTATCGAAATTAGTGCATAGTCTAAGTATCTAGTTTATGTAACCAAACATTATGTAAACTTTGAATAGTCCAGAAAATCTTTCTCAACAGTAGTAAGGATTATGTTGTATACTTACAGGGTTCCAACAACCTTCTTTGTATTGGCTTCTATACTTTTGCCTTCCACAATTCTTGCCAGCCCAAAATCTGAGATCTTAGGGTTCATCTCTTGATCTAATAAAATGTTGCTAGCTTTAAGATCCCTATGAATAACCCTCAACCTTGAATCTTGGTGTAGATAAAGGAGACCTCTAGCAATGCCCAATATGATGTCGAACCTCATTTTCCAATCCAGTATATCAGCGAGTGTGGAATCTTGCAAACAAAAAAGACTTAAGAATGTTAAGGTTTTAACCACAGGTTTGCAGAAAGAAGATGATGATCAGTTACGTTCATAGACTAACCAAATATGATGGCATCTAAGCTTCTGTTTGGCATGTATTCATACAACAAAATCTTTTCATTTGTTGTGATGCAATAGCCTACAAGTTTCACTAGGTTGCGGTGTTGAAGCTTGGCAATCAACACAATCTCATTCTTGAATTCATTCACACCTTGTCCACTCTGGCTTGACAACCTTTTCACAGCGATTTCTTGCCCTCCAGGAAAAATACCCTGTGCAAGTCTACAACTGTTACATTACAAGGCACGTAATCCTTGAAATAAGATAGTTGAAAGTAGGCTCTAAACAACCTTATGAACCGGGCCAAATCCCCCTTGTCCGAGCTTGTTTGAATCTGAGAAATTATCTGTTGCTGCCAATATGGTTTCCAGGCTAAAAAATGGAATGTCAATAGCCTTCTTATCATCCTCAGTTAACAAGTCATTCTCCTGGTCTTCAATGTTTGCGACCTTATTCACTTGATTTCCTTAAGATTAGTTTGTTTAAGAAAAACAGCACAAGTTAGAAAAAACATTATATTCTTCCATAAACACAAGAGTTGAAGATTGATCCAGTCATACCCTTAACCAAATTTCTTCTATAAATTATGTAGCCAATGCTGCTCAAGATTACAACCGCTAGAATCACTGAGATAGATATAATCAGTGATCTGAACTTCACAGAAGATTTTGACTTTTTGCTTGATGACCCTGCTTCTGTCATTATTGATATTGAGACACATGCAAGAAGATTTTCATTGTATCCAGTTCTAAATGTGGAGATCAGATGACCAAAATATTGTTGTCAAGAGGTCTGAACCGGCCCTCTATAAGCTGGTTCAGGTTTGGGCTAAGCCCAATCCAGGCCTGCTTTTTTTAGGCCGATTCAGGGTTGGTTCGACCTTGAAACACTTTTTTTACAACTAGCTAATACTATCAGCTGATCAAACTAACTAACTCAATCAACTATCAGTCATTTGCCAAACACCCTTGATAAAGTCAAAAGAGCTAATGTTAAATAATCAAGAAAAGTAAAGTTTAAGGATACCTGAGGTACAATTTAAGCTTAAGGCATCCCATTTGAAACCCGATTTGCATAGGCACCTTCCCAGCCCTTGTTTTGTAGCATTACAAATTGAGTTGGGCAAATCTTCACAGTCAATAGAAGAACTACAAGTTGGCTCTGCTTGAGGTTTATCATTCTTACCCATGTCTGAAATTGCAATGCGGATGGAAATGTTAAGACCATTTGTGATGTCCTGTTGGAGAGCAAGAACATCAGATGTCCAAATTCTGCATTCTTGTCTAAGGTCACCAGTCCCTCTTTGTCTTCGAGTAGGATCCAATGCACTATAGGAATAAGCCTCGCACTGGCAATTGCTAAGGCACTCCTGTTTGCAGTCTTCTTCAGTCTCAACAGTTGAAAAAGCTGAGTCTGGATTCCCAAATACCACTGAAGTCAGATTCAAGAACGTGTCTCTCTTGCCATTCTGGTTGCAGCTAATAGCTGACTTCCTAGAACAGCCACCGGAAAATACATTAGCTCCCCAATCGTCGGGATTAGTAGGTTCAAACCCCGGCAAACACTTGCAGAGTAAACCGTTGTTGTTGTTGTTACAGCTACCAAACTTCCCACATATGTTATACGAACTGCAATTATCGTGTGGCTCTGACCATTGCAAAGACCAACTGGTTTTATTGCTGTCCCAGATATAGAATTGTATTTCCCCAGAGGAATTCATCAATAGCCTTGGATTTTGGTATGGAGGCTGACTTGGATTAAAATTGGATAGCAAGGAGGATACAGCAGGGGGCAAAGTATTTAAACTGGTTAATTGGTCTCCTACTCCACTTTTCCAGTATGTTACAGATCTGTGATAGATGATGTACTGTTCCATGTCTACTGGATCTTGGCGGAAGGTGTAATTTCCAGGCGCGGGGTTGTAGCCAGAACTTGCCCAGGAAGTCAGTGTTAAACTATCATCCATTTTCATGCCAGGAAGAAAAGTATCGGCAGGATAGTCGAAACTTTGCCATAAAGTAGTGTTTCTTGAAACATTATCAATCAGAACTAAGTTCCCTGAATCCAAAAGCCTTGCTGTCCTAACGTAAGACTTAGAAGAGGGCGTAGTATGAAGTTGTGTGGAGAAACATGTGGCGCCAGTACCATTCAGAACATAAAGATTTCCATCTTCTTTAACGACGACAACTCCAGAAGAATCCGAAATTGGAGAATCCCTGTTGGCAACCCAGACAATTGTTCGGGGGTTCAAACTGTAATACCAAATGCCTACATACCAGTTTGAATTTTCTTCATCTTGAAAGAAACCCAGCTCAAATGTTTTCCCAGCTGAAACAAGTGTTTCACCCTGAGCTAATAAACTGCTTCCGGAGGTGATGGCGTCTCTACCATGACATGGAAGCATAAAGCATGACATCAATACTACACAGAAGAGCTGGCAGGTGTACTGCATAGCTGCAGATTGCGATGCCGATGAGTGGCTTTGAAACCGCGCAATAATGGTGGGTTTCCCCATGACTTCAAGAACTTGAGGCTTTGGGTACAGTACAGATGAATTCCATGTACTGTAATCGTTGTGATAATCAATACCGAATGAAAATGAAGCCAACACTAGAGAGCCAGTAATATTATACAGAGTAGATTAACAAAAGTGAAGCTGACCGGGCCATGCATGATTACAACGTTTCCTGTTATTATTTGTGTGATTTCACACCAATTCAAAATTAGGGGAGCTTGTTCCACATTTAATCCACTCAAATTTTCAACCCAGGCCCGCTCTGCTTGGCTGAGTTTATAGCTTATAGCTTATTTTAAGCTACTAATAAGTTATAAGCTCTGTTTGGTATTGTTTCAAAAATAAGCTAGTAACTTAAAATAAGAGTTTATTTTGAAAAGTTACCTGAGGTAGCATTTCAAAAATAAGTTAGTAGCTTCTTAACTTCTTTTCATCTTTATCCTTATTATTTTAAATAAATAACATATTTTACCATTCCCAATAAAAACTTTTTTACCTTTTCTTTTCTCCCATATGTTTATTTATTTATCATTTTCCACAACTCTTTATCCTCCATAAACTCCTTAAAGTTCTAACTATAATTGTTCATTCATAAATAAATGATACCCAACTCAATTATAAACTTTTTTTTCTTTTGTTTTAATTTAATATATATCTTATATATATTATACAAGGTTCCATGTTTTACTTTCGATTTAAAGTGCACATCTTCGAATAGGATTGAAAGTTTCTTTAAAATCAAAGAATTTTCTTGATTTATAAAGTTTGTTAAGAAGATTTTAGAAAAAAAATTAAAAAAAAAATCTAACACCGGCCTATTTTTTTTTGTAATACTTTTAAATCAAAATATAAAAGTATTATAATTTTTCATAAAAGTAATAAATATTTTATTACTTATTAGTATTTTCACAGAAATTTTTGTCATACTAGAGAAGTCTTTTAGCACCGATTCTTGATTTGGTGTTTTCTTTGATACAACAATGTCAAATGTCTATTAAATATTCTCGTCATTGAAAAGTCTATTAACATAAACCGTGTTTCAAAGTTTTAGACATCCTTAATATCTATTTCGTTTGTAATTAATGGCAGGTAACATTTATTATATTCTTTCGGAGACAGTTGCCAACATTTTTATTTGAAATGTACAGATCAGAGTAGTTGTTGACTTCTGTTTTTTTTTTTATTGCATACTCTCTTTGGTTGTTCACACAATTCTGTACTGTTTCAATCTTGAAGATATCTTCCTCTAAAGGACCAGATCAGATCCATGGCAAATATATAGTATAGTGATAACAAAAATTGCAAAACATGTGTTGAGATAATTAAGGAGAACAAAGATCGGCAATAATGGAAACTTCGCTCCATTCTCCATTCTATCCAAAACTTGTCATTCTTCTCATCTTCCCTTACATATGAGAGATAAACCCAGGCCACTATCTGCCTTCTAGCATTGTGACTGTTAATTCATTAGGCTTGGATGAGGAAGATGAAGATGATATGCCGGAAAGGCGCTTTCTCGCTACAAAAGCTGGTTGATTAGGTGTGGGAAGAGCCATGCTTTCAGTCACCAGCATTATAACAACGTCCGTCATGGTTGGCCGATCACTGGGATCTTCTTGCACGCATAGCAGCCCTATATGTATGCATTTCAAGATTTCGCTTCTGCTCAATGAATTTAGCACTGCTGGGTCTACTATTTCAACCGCCATCTCTTCCATCCACAGCTTCCATGTCTAACAAATTACAGAATCATACACAATCCCAGAAATTATCACAGACCAATTAAGCTTTAGTATTCATAATAATAAGCTTTTGAAGGTAGGTACTCACATGGCGCAAGAGGTTCAAGGCTTCTTGAGATTGGTAAAGCGACATGTTCCTCCTTCCACTAATGATTTCAAGGAGGACAACTCCGAAGCTATATACGTCTGATTTGATTGAGAACAGCCCTTCCAATGCATATTCCGGAGACATATACCCACTTGTCAATAAAAAAACACGAGATAAATCACGGTGATTCAGTGGCCTACCATACTGTAACATATGCTAATGTATGTATGCAATGCTTACAATGTTCCAACAACTTTGTTTGTGTTAGCTTCATTTCTTTTGCCTTCAACGATTCTTGCCAAGCCAAAATCTGAAATTTTAGGGTTCATTTCCTCGTCCAGTAGAATGTTGCTTACTTTTAGATCTCTATGAATAATCCTCAGCCTTGAATCTTGATGGAGATAAAGAAGACCCCGAGCAATACCCAAGATGATATCAAATCGCCTAGTCCAATTCAATGTCACGCTGAGTTGGCGGTCTTGCAAAACAACAAATTAAAGGCTTTTTAGCAAGCAAAACCAGGTAGCTGTTAAGTACTGCCATATGAAAGATCACTAACCAAATATGATGAAGTCTAAGCTTTTATTTGGCATATATTCGTATAACAAAATCTTTTCATTTGTGGTTATGCAATAGCCCAGAAGCTTCACTAGATTGCGGTGTTGAAGCTTGGCAATTAACATGACCTCGTTCTTGAACTCCTCCACTCCTTGTCCACCGTTGCTTAACAACCTTTTCACTGCAATCGCTTGCCCTCCTGGAAAATTACCCTGTCGGAGTTTGCAGGGAGTCTATTACATTATATATAGAACAGTTGAGTCAAGAAGTATATGGTAACCGCATTATTTACCTTATAGACAGGACCAAATCCGCCTTGTCCAAGCTTATTTGCATTGGAGAAGTTGTCTGTGGCTGCTAATATGGCTCCCAAGCTAAAAAATGGAACTTCAATTTTTCTCTTGTCATACTCGGTTATCAAGTCTTGTTCTTGCATTCCAATGTTTGGCATCCCCAAGATAATTTCTTCTCAAAAAAACATCACAGATTAGAAGAATAGAAACAGAAACTATAAAGTGCAGGAGAGTGGTACAGTCTTATTACCTCTTCTATTCCCAGCCAATTTTCTTTTATAAACTATGCAACCTAAGCTGCATAACAGTACAAATGCTACAACTGCTAAGATATAAATAGCCAGTGTTTTCAACACTGCAGTTGCCTCTTTCCTCTCGCTTGATGACCCTTGCGCTTGTCGTTCTGAAACAACAAGACAATAATACAGTAATTTCAAAATTGCTCTGATACCACTTGTTAGTATTTACTTGGACTTAGCCCTTCACTGGCCTCTGCCTAACACCGGAAGACATTGTTTTGTGGTTAAAGATTCGTACCTATATCAGCAACACGGACAGAAAGCTCAAGGCCATGGTCATAATCGTCCTGGAGATCATTGAGAGCTTGAGTCCAAATCCTGCAACCGTATTCACCGCGTTGTTCACCTCCAAACGAATATGCCTTGCATTCGCAGTCACCCAAGCACTCCATTCTGCACTGCTCTTTATTCTTATTGTTAGGAGAAGGGTATGGGTAATCAACTTTCATTGATGTGAGATTAAGAAATGTAATATTCTGGTTGCAGCTAGTCCCAGACTTCTTAGAACAACCACCGGAGTAATCCCGGGCTTTCCAGTCGTTAGGATAGGTAGGATCATACCCGTCCAAGCACTTGCAGGTCGAGTCATCAGTGTTATTCCTGCTACAGATACCAAAGCTCCCGCAGAAATTATAATAACTGCACTTGTCTTGTGGCATTTGCCACCCCAAATTCCATGTTTTCTCATTATTATCCCAGATATAAAACTGTATCTCCCCGGAGGAATTCATCAACAGCCTTGTATCCTTGTACTTTGTTGTGTCATTGAATGACAGAGACGAGAAGTTGAGGGACTTGCGGTTGGACCTGGACTTTTTATTACTCAGAACAGTTGTACTGAAATTTGACAGCAAGAAAGTTACCTCATCCACAACTGAACTGGCCAGGGGATCTCCACTTTTCCAGAAGGGTTCTTCTGATTGTTCTCGGGAAATGATGTACTGGGACGTGCCTTTATCAAGCTGGAATGTGTAATTTCCAGTCCAGGAAACCAATTTTAAGCCGCCCGGTGTCATCTTCATCCCGGGGAGGAAAGTATCGGTTGGGTAATCGAAACTCTGCCACAGAATTTTCCCTGATTCGTCCCTGGAAACCAAATTCCCTGAATCCAAAAGCTGTGCTGTCCAGTTGTAAGACCTGGGGATGGAGGGATGTCCCAAGGGCAAGTAGAAACAAGAATCTCCATTTCCGTTTGATACAGTAAGGTTACCTTCTTGAATGGCAATAATGGCTCCTGGAGAATCTGAACACGGGTTATCCCTGTTGGCAACCCAGACGATTGTTTGAGGATCACGTCCATGATACCATATCCCCACATATCTGTTTGCACCCTGAGGAGGAAAGAACCCTAGCTCAAAACTCTTCCCAGCTGAAACAATAGTTTCTCCATCTTTGAGTAAACTGTTTCCACTGGTGATGATGTCTCTAGTAGTAGTAGTAGTAGTAGGGTGACATGGAAGCACAAAGCACACCAAAAATGAACACAGGAAAAGGCGCCGGTGGTTCATAGTTGCAGATCAATTGCATGCGTTGCTTAGACAGTAGAATGATGATGATGATGATAAAGTCTTCATCTCCTATGAAGTCAATGCTGAAGTAATGCTAGTAATGTTGACAGTAGACTAGTAAAAGTAATGCTAGTAAATTCCAACTTCCAAAGTTGGTGGAGCCATGATAACAATGTTTCCTTGTGATTTTTGCAATATTTCCACACTTCCAATCTTTGGCTTCTCATACGATAAAGTGACACTTATCAAATACTCATGAAAATCATTAAACTTTAATGTCGTTTGCGTTTTTCTTTGTTGAAAGAATGGAAGTGCCGGATTAGACGCGTTTTTCTTTGTTGAAATTAAAGAATGAAAGTGCCGGATTAGTCAAATAGAACATTCACTCTATCACTAACAAGGCGTTTGGTTAGAGAGGAGGAATTACATAGGAAAAAAATTGCAATTCTATGGGAGATGAATTATTGGGAATAAAGTGGGAATTTAAATTCCATTGTTTGGTTTACAGGAATAGAATTACTGGGAATTTCAATTCCAATGTTTGGTATACATGGAAATTGAAAGGAAATAAATGGTATAAAGTCTAAAATGTCCATTGTTATTGTCAGACATTAATTTTAGGTTTAAAAAAGGAAGGGGTAATTTTGACTCATCACTATCTTTTTTTCTTCCTAAAATCCCAGGGGAACATGGGATTTTAATTTCATGAAAATAAGGGAATTGCAATTCCTTTTCAACCAAACAAGGGAATTGTGGCCTTTGGAATTAGGTGGGAATTAAGTGGAAAGTGAATTTAAATTCCCTTCAACCAAACGCCCTGTAAGGGTGTATCCAATCAGAAACGGAGCTAGTGTGGGGCAGCGAGAACAGTACATATATAGCATTAGATGTTATATAAAATAAATATTTATGTTTAAATTTTTTGTAGTTTGAATGGTTTAGTTGGTTGAACTTTATTTGTTTACTTTAAAAAAGTGTGTGGTTATAGGTTCAAATCTCATTAATAACATTTTTCTTATCTTCACTTGTTTATTTCATCTCTTTCATTCATTCTCAAGCTTTTAGTATTATTCAAATTATTTTATCTAATTGATTATGTTTATTTTATCTAATTGATTATGTTTCATATGTTGTCATAAATATTTTCACATTGTATCCCCACTCAAGTATATTTTTTGCTCCGACTCTAACTATCATGTAATATATCAAAAAACATTATATTGTAATTTATAATATATTTTGTATTTTAACATTATTATGACTGTTTGATATTTTGTAATTGACCTTTCTAACATTATTTTAACTTCGTCCCGCTCACAAAATTTTCTAGGTCCGTCCCCGTATTCAATCAAGATTTGTATAAACTTCCAAAGAGTTAAAGTAATGAATTTCAAATAACTTCCATAGATTTTTTAAAAATCTTTTTAGACTTTTATTAACTTTATATGAATCCATAAAAGTTTGTAGGACAAACATTTATAAACTTTTTCATATTAAAAGTCTACGCAAGTCATTAAAAGTCTAAATTAAATACATCCTTATAAATATTTCATAAATTCTATTAATACATGATTTATAATTTTCTTCCAAAAAACTTTTATAATATATAATATATTTTTATAAATCATAAATAAATTAATGCATTGCAAAAATAAATAAATAAATAAAAATTAATTGTCACAAAAGTAGAGTGTATTATACATACATATGATATCAATCAAATTTCACTAAATAGAGTAAATGATACAACATATATATAACCAATAGCGTCCAAAACCCTAATTTTCCCTTCTTTCTCTCTTTAGACCTATAATTTCTTTTTACTTCTCTCTAAAATAATGGAAAAACATTAGGAATTTGAATTTTTCAGTTAATATTGTTTTAATTTGACCAGAAAATTTTCGATTAATCTTGGCGGTGCGACTATTCCGATGAATTTGTCTCTTCTCCATGGGCATGCTGCATGCATGGCAGCCCACGGGGGTTGCATAATATAATAGCTCATATTATAGGGAAAATTTAAATATAAGAAAGTTTTAAAACGTAAAGTAAAATTTGACAGTTAGTTAATTTCATGTAAAATGACTTATAATGGTATAGAATTATTGTCTAATTTATATAAATATACTTATTATTGTTGTTGTTGTTGTTATTATTATTATTATTATTATTATTATTATACACACCCTCTTTGCAATATTTCCACACTTACAATCTTTGGCTTGCCATATGGTATATTTCCTTTCATAATCCAAATTAAAGTGGATGGATGCTTGTCTGGTGTGTAATTGCCATAAATATAATATTATGGTTTGAATCAAAGCAACGAAGATTCAACGTTTTCTAGTGTGTTCAAAGAATATAATATGCGACAATGATAAGTACACAGATTTTTAACTCAATAAATCTGCTCGTTGACCATCAAAGTCTACAATCATTTTGGTGTTTGTGCAATGAAAAATGCTACATCTACTTTCAAATTATACTTCAAATTTTTACACGCAGTAAATGTTTATCTTTTATTAGATGAAGAGAAATAGATAAACAAAAATCGTGGTCATTCATTTTTATTATTCTAACTTGGGCAATACATATATGATGTCCAAGTATAGCCAGACATGAAAAAAGCGACGAATATATTGGAATGAATATAATTATCGCCTTACCGGTACAACACAAGGCAATATAATATAAGGTCCCCTATGGAGTTAATTGTGAGCGAAATTAATGTGTCTGCATCACATACGTACAGGAAATGAGTCATGTGCGTGGTTTTACAGGTAGTTTGGTTAGTTATCAAGTGACAAATTATACCAATAATATAAGATTAAGTTTTAATACTTATGGTCCGTTTGGTTCACGGAATAGGTCGAGAATGACATAGCATTCCCAGTAATAGGCATATTCATTTGTTTGGTAACTACTTCTATTACCAGGAATAATATTCCTAGTAATAGGCTATTACCTCAAATAAGGTAATAGCTATTACTAGGGCCCCCCTGGTATTAGCCTATTACTGAACGCTCAGGAATAGATTTTAGAATCTATTTTCTTTTTTACCCCTTTTTTTAACCTAATATTTTTTTTTATCCTATATATAAATTTATCATATTTCACCACCGTCGTCGCCACCACCACCACCACTGCCGCCGCCGCCACCACAATCGCCACAACCGTCGTCGCCCCCACCACCACCACCACTACCACCCCAGCACCACCACCGCCACCACCACCACCGCCATCACCATCGCCGCCACCGCCGCCACCACCACCACCGCCACCAGAACCACCACCAAGCAGCACCATCGCCACCACAACCGTCGCCGCCCCCACCACCACTGCCACAACTGTCACCGTCACCACCACCACCGTCGCCCCCACCACTGCCACCGCCACCACCACCATTACCACCTCAGCACCACCACCACCACCGCCACCGCCACCACCACCATCACTACCATCGCCACCACCACCACCACCACCACTACCACCGCCACCATCACATATTTTTATAAGGGTATTTATGTCTTTTAAAACATATTTCATTTCTATTCCTTAAATCAACCAAACACTGTAATATAATTCCTAAAGTATATTCCTTCCGCGAACCAAACAATAGAATACAATTCCTATTCTATTCCTTGCCTATTCCATTCCTTATGGAATAACATTCCTATTACCTCAAAATTCATTCCGTGAACCAAACGTACTGTTATAGTGTGAGAGTTTCACTTTCTTGTGAACATCACATATTAGTCCTCTTATCAGAAGAGCCGCTAAGTTATCATGATTTAACTTCTTTATATTTTTTGTAGGATTGATGTGTGACCTTCAAAATTAGGGATTTTGGATCGGTTTACTAACGGAAACTGTTTTTTCTGTTTTTTAATTTTTCAATACAATTTTCATTATCTGTTTCATGTTTATAAAACTTGTTTACTAACACTCGTTTTTTTTTTTAATTTTTAGATTAACATTATAAAATGAACAAAAGTTTAATTTTGATTGGTTTTTAGATCTTATATTTAAAATATCTTTAGATATATTTAGTTTAAATGGAATAAATATAATTTTAACTTTAAGTCTAATATATGTAGGATTTTTACATTTGATATCCGAACTAAATTTATATATGTATATAACATAACTAAAAATATATCCTAATAACCTATTAAGTTCATCCTCTCGAATTAAGTTTAGATAATATTAATATTTTTTGAGCTAATATTTAAAATATTTTTGAATATATTCATTTGAATGAAATGTATATAAATATATATTTTTTACTTTGATTATAATATATGTGAAATTTCAATATCCGATATCTGAACCAAACTTATATTACGATATAACATAACTAAAAAATCTGAATCAATAATCTATTGAATTTAATCAAAATCTAAAACCTGAATCAATAATCTATTGAATTTAATCAAAATCTAAAACTTAATATAGAGTTTAATTTTGATAATGTGAATAATATATAACTTTAAGTGTAACTAAACAAGTTATGTTTTTCGGGGTTTTTTTTTTTATTTTTTATTTTTATTTTTTTATGCGTATCTGTTCAAACATATTTTCTCAATCTATTGAAACACAAAGAGTTAACAATGCCTCTACTGAGGTTCAATCTCATGACCTCCCATATGAGAAATGTCACTACATGTCATCTCAACACAAGGTGCTTGACAAGTTTTCCGGTTAGTAAACATGTTGATCTGGATAATTGATCCGGGGTATCTTGAATGTATATTGTGTGTATGAACAATATAGAGTAGTCAAGAAGTAGCTCAAATGGATCTTTTATTCATGGGTGTTCTTGTATGTTGTCTAGTACATATTCTAGAGAGAAGGGAGAGAGCTCTCATTGAGAGGGAGGGAGTGTAGGGAGGAGAGAGGAAGAGCCCCTAAAATGGAGGGCCAAGGCCCCTTATATAGGCTCAAGCGTGGGTGGGTTTGACCTTGACCTTGACTTGGACTCGAAATGTTTGACCCCAACACAAACAGAAATACGGAGTGTACGGGAAGCTTGAACCCAATGTATATTCCCCATCATATTTCATTTGCATTTTGCATCAAAGGAAACGAATCGTGTGTGTGAACACACAGCTTTCATCTTTGTGAAGCTGGGTCAATTGTGTTAGTGCGTAACACACGGTTGAAGAAATGTTTTGGGCGTTTTGTTGACTCGGAAAATTAGGAACTACGCGTAGCCCTATTTACACTTCGATTGGGACTTGGGAGCAAAACCTATATTAGTCACAAGTCGGCAAGGTGCGTCTCAAGGCGACGACGTACTCAGCGCTGGGTCCCACGCAGATAGCCACGTTGGCGGATCAGAATCTCCGCCTCCACACAACCAAATCTGCCACGTAGACACGGCATCAATGAAACAAAATATCCAGTTACCAACTGCAAGGAAGCATCATAAGTTTCTGACACGTGGCAGTCCCTCTTACCATTCACCCCACGCGCGCCGCCTGTGCCAGTCACTCACATTTTCCTTGTGCCTGCGAAATTTCAGCATTGAATTTCAAATTCGCTGCGCGATCATATAATGCCACTTGTAATTTAAAAATCAAGTTGGCAGTGGCACTTTGGTTATTTTGCGGTAATCAAGGGCGGTTTCGGTAGTTTGCTGCAACTTGTTTACTCTTTTTTCTCCTTCTTTTCTTCCCCCAACCATTGACGAAGTCTTTTCTGTTCATTTTCTTTTCGATCTTTCTTCGAGAGGTTTCTTCGAGTTGGAGAAGATGAAGAAGAGTTGCGAGCTCTGTCAAGGTATAGCTAAGACTTTTTGCGAGTCTGATCAAGCCCATCTGTGTTGGAACTGCGACGCTAAGGTGCACTCGGCCAACTTTCTCGTGGAGCGTCACTCGCGCTTACTGCTCTGCAACGTTTGCCACTCGCCGACGTCGTGGTCGGCTTCCGGCGCCAAACTCGGATTCGCGGTGTCCTTGTGCGGAAGCTGCGTTGCAGATACTGGAAGACGACGGAGGCAGGAGGCGGAGGAGAGCCAGGGAGAGAGCCGCGTCGATGAACCAGGGTACGAAGATGATAATGATGATGATGACGACGAGGACGATGAAGAGGAGGATGAGATCAGTGATTCGGAGGATATTCAGGTGGTTCCGTGGTCATCAACGCCGCCACCGTCGATTTCATCAAGCAGCAGCGAAGATTCATCCCACGGCGGCGAGGAGGGAGAAGTTTTCCTGAAACGATTGCGTGAAACCAATCCAGATCCTTTCTCTGATGATGTACGAAATCTTCCTTATTTGCTTTCTCATTCTCTGCACTAAAGATCAAAAATAGCCACGCATTGAATAGAATTACTTAAAATGATTTCTCTACACTTCAAATTATCTGATTTCATTTTTGGTTTGGCCGAAATAGGATGATCGTGGAAGTTCATTATTAGGGGAAAACTCCTGTAAATTGCCGCCGCCGGCTTTTGCTGGTTCATTGTCAAACGGTATGACAAGACCCATGAAGATCCGGAAACGGGAAGATAGCCAAATGGGTCGGTTTGTATAGATTCACCGCCGGAAAGATAGGATGATCAGTTTGGATTTTGATTTAATTATTATTTTTTTTATAATTTATTTTCATTTTTTTTTGCCGCGTGTATATGGGCATCGGTTAAAACTTAAGAGTAGATAAATTTTAGTTACTCAGTTGTAATGTATTTTTTATTTGCAATTAAGTTTATCTATGAAAAATAGTTAACAATTAACAAATATAAAAATACAATATTTTATTACCATATAAATAATTACGAAGAATTAATTGTCTTATATTCTATAACACGTTGAACAATTGCAAATTAATTTGTTTAATCTTTTCACGAATTAGTTTATTTAGTTATGTAAAATTATATTATATAATAAATTAATTCATATAATATTTTCCCACTATTACATACTTAATAGAGTAAATAATTTAATAGGTTTCGTTATTCGGCAAAGAATTTTATAGGATTTGGACTTTTTATTTTCTATGGTTGGTTATAGTCTAGACTCCTAGCTAGTATAGTAATTAAAATAAACTTGAGATAACTTTGAATAAGATTATTTTATAATAAGGTAGAATTTAGGATAATGTTGAGGGTAGCCATCTTCAAATTAAACTTGGCAACAATGCAAGAAGCTAAGACGATCATATCTATAAAAAATAATTAAATTCATGGATACTTTTTTAATAGAGATAAATCAAATGCATGCATATTTTGTAAAGAGGGATAGTCATTCTATCAATTTATACTCATATTGAACTAGTCATCATCATTATGGAATTAGTGCCTTAGACCAGGTCATCCCAAGAAGAAGACATGCTTGGAGCTAAAACGTCTGAGTGATCGGTGATTGTCTTAGTTTGTTAGTATGTGAACCACACCAGAGATGTAAATCGTACTAAGAAAATTATGTGTGGAAAATCATTCTCTACTTATTCGACTATATATTTTTTGGTATTGTTATTTATTTCTTTGGTACAAAGAAACCATGCTTATAATTTTTATTTTTATTTTAAATGGCTATCAAAGTCCTTGAGCACGCATTAGAGAGGAATCAGAACATTTTGTGCAATAAGAAATTTGCAACGAGTGGTTCAAATTGAACGCAGGTGAAAGGCTGAAGTTTAATCAACCATATTGGGTTGCGGCGTTAGCCCCATGCAGCATCACCACCCATTCATCGTCTTCTTTAATTATAATCCACAACCCCACGCATATTTATAATAATCTGTCCCTCCTTAAAATCAATACTTTATATTTGACTGTCGGAGGAATCCATTTGCAGCAGATATTTCTAGTTTTTTATTCCATACTCTGCGGCGTTCACTCATGGCTATGATGTGGTTATATAATTTGTGGTTGTAATTTCCCATCATGCTATTTATTGTTTATACAATCACATCGCGTGGCCCGACAAAGAATTACAACAGCTTCCCATCATACTTTTTACAATTCATGTTTTTTTAATTAAAAAAAATTTAGACCAGATATTTATAGCCAAGTAATGAATGATATAAAAGACAATTTATATCATGGATCAAGATACAGATATCATTGGCAAATTATACCGTGCACCAGGACATTGTGCACCCTAGTCTAAAACGACGTCATTCATTTTTTTTTTTGTAACAAAAGGAGGGATAAACCCGGGTCATTCATTTTTTATCTTTTCGCGTGTCTGTGCTGTTAACTCTTTAAAAAAAAAAAATCCTGAAAACACATAATTTTATAACTGAAAATTCTTAAATGTTTCTGATAGGGTATATTCCGACCATACTGTGCCCTACCCGACCGCCTGGGCCCTACCCGACCGACCCATCTTGTCTCTTTCCTCCTCTTTTTGCAGGTCACAGGGCGGGAATCTCAGGAAGAACCCGATCGGTTCCCGACCGGGTGTTACCCGATCGGAGTGTTACGTTCCCGACTGGCCACCCTTGAACAGAAGTTGAGGAGAGACACGCGTCAGCACTTGGCGGGGACATCAGGACGCCCGAGGGGACGACACGTGTCCAAGCCACGCGTCGGGCTGGCCGGAAAGCCCGGATCGTGTCCCCTGCCTCGCGTCTATAAATACCCGCCATTGCGACAGTGAGAGGATCTTTTGGACGATCGATAAGCTGTTATCAGAGAATCCCGACCGTATTCAGTCGGCACCCGAGCAGCTATCTAGATTGTACTTAGAACCTTTTCACCCGATCTATAAAAGTTTACCGCTTTACTTGATCGTATCTGTGTTGATTACTGCTTACGTGGCAATTAGCACTATCAGTTTCAAATGTACAAAATTATATAATAGAATGCACAAAATTTTATACTTGAAATTAACAAAACGACATCACTTTGGAATGTACAAAATTATATAATAGAATGCACAGAATTTTATACCTGAAATTAACAAAACGACGTCGCTTTGGAAGGCGCCCTGGTGCACGGTATAATGATTGGATATCATTATGGATTCTAAATTGAAAGGACGAAGTACAAAATTCATACTTGTAAGGTACATAATTTCAGACAAAAAATAACAAACATATGACACATACACCTGTTATATATTTACTTATTTTTCAAATATGATTTAAGTACATAATTTGTGTTCATATATACAAAATTTCATAACAGAAGATACAAAAATTCATAAAATAAGACACAATTATTAATTTATTTTTAGGTACAAAATTAATACTATTAAGATACAAAATTTCATAACACAAGACACAAACTCACAACATAAAATACATATACATACACCAGAATCTACAATGCATTGTGAACCTTGACCCATGGCATAAGGATTGGATCTAAACAAGTACATAATAAATAATTAAGAAATTAAATATACATTAAGACACAAATAATAAGTATTATTTTTTATTCATTAATATTTAAAATCATGTGGTAGATCGTCTAGGAGGCTGGGGCAAGAGATCCTGCATTCCACATGTTTGTCATTTCATCAACCAAATTAACATTATTATAACACAAACATCTTTTCAGCTTGAAAATGTTTCGAGGGTAATCAATGACCAATTGTTGGATACTCTTAGGAAAATATCAATAATATTTTTTGAGTTACGAGAAAATTCACAATCACTACTCAGAAATAAATTCTATCTAGTGATACTAGTCAGTAAAGAACCACACAAAAGTAAATTAACTTAGATTATTTATAGTTGACCTGATTAAACTAATAAGACCAATAAATAAACTTCTCCCATTAAGAGTTAGACTTGTAACTTTATGATTACTAAGTCAATTAGTATGATCAATTTGATTAGAGTTGTCCCAAATACCAATAACATTTACATGTGGTTGAGTTAGACTTTTTCAAGTAAGAATCAAACTATCAATTCCGAATAACTTAATAGAAATACCGGATGAACAAATGCGTTTGCAAATTGCAAGAAATCAAAACTTGTCAGTGACTTAAGACAAAGTGATGCGTGTAGCACAGAGTTTTCCAAACTCACTCTCTAAGACTTGGAGCAAGTTTTCTTTGGTTCGTCTATAAACCCAAGCCTTCAAATTCTGATCCCAATCGAACCTTGATGGACCACTGCAGATAAAGTTTACTTTGTCAAGTAATATGAAAATGGAACAACCAAGTGTAGACAAAGGCAAACAACAAAATTTTGCAAATTGGCCATAAGAGTCATCTGACAAAGTTTACTGACTCAAGATGTTCAGCTCGCATGGCGGTATGGACTTAGTTCACTGGTTCAGTAAACAGCATTTGAGAGAAAAGATTAAGGTTCAAACTTTGATAACGACAGTAAAGTGAACAGATCATTTATGTGCACCGACATAGAAATTATTTAAGTAATATTTCAAAATAAATTATTATTTTAGATTTTTTATATTTTACAGTTACTTATTCCGTATTTATTTAGAACTTAAAAGAAATTATAAGTTCTAGAATAAACTCTACCAAACATGTCTCACAAGAGATCACAACTAAATTTCCTTAAGCATCTGAAATGGCCGCTGTTATTGGCAACGGATTAGTGTTTCTTTCCATTTTCACATATTCAAATTTTAAATTCTGTTATCATTTCTCGGTGGTGAAAATCAACCAAACATAAAAATAAACACTCCAAGTTCAAAGCAAATACACAGAACTGAAAACAGAATCATCTCAGAAGAACACTCACCGATAATCGATAAGTGCAGGGCCTTGATAGCCTTCATCGAGAGAAGTGTTGGAGGAGAAGCTTTTACAAGTGATTAGCAGAAACGATTTAGCGCCGCGATCCGAATATTCGGGAAGAGAATCATGTACCGGAGAAGAAGACAACGGGAGGAACGGATACCATGAAAGCGGAGCTATGAAAGCTCTCCACGGCAGGAGAAGCTTCGTCCTGGAATGAAGAGAAGCCATTTCCGCAGCTTCACTGTTTTACAGTTTTACCTAACTTCTCACCATTGAATAACTGCTTGAAAGCCCATACCAGGCCCAAATTGAGTGGGCTTTATGCTAATGAGCTAATCCCAATTCATAATTAAATGCAAAGCGACGCTTTAAATACAAGTACGTATAATCCATTTCGTAATGATTATGGTGTCATTATTGCTAATTATTTGTTATTGTACTGATAGAATCCTGTCGACAGAATTTCAGGTTCTCAGAAAACAAAAATCAAAATAATAATTAGAATAAACCGGCGCCGCTCATTTGGAAATTGGAACAATCTCCTATATATCACCACCAACCATCTCCAGCGGTCCAGCCGTTTCCTAGGGCTTCATATTCTACACAAGTTCTTCTTTTTCTCTTTTCGTCATTTTTTTTGAACACATAAATTAAAAACCCATAAAAAAGCTTTTCTTTTGCCGCTTTCATGTTAGTTAGTTACTTTGCGTCATTGAGGATTTGAAGAGAACGTAAATCTGGCTAAGACGAGGTATGAAATGAAATCTTCTGTTTCTTATTTTATTTTATTTTTTCATGGAATTTTGTTTTGTTTTGTTTTTTTTTCCCACGGATTTATAGTATATATATGAATCATTAAAAGAAATATTCTAATATTGATCTATGTTTGTGTTTATGTCTGTATACGAATCTGTATTTTTGTGTGTTTATGTTTGTTAGATATGATTATATGAATACTCACATGCACATATGGCACATTAATGGACAACTGAATGGATTTTGATCTGTTTTTTTATCATTAGAATTTGATTTTCTGGTGTGACGTATTGAATCCATATCATTGAAGAATCTATGTATATTGGGTATGATCCATAGGATAGGATCTGCTCTGTAAATCCTGTTCCTGTTTCTGAGTACATGGAAGTTTGGATTTGAACTGAGAGATTATGGTTTGGATTTATTGAAGATGAGTTATCTCTTTTCCAACTAAAGTTAATTTATAAATTTATTACAGTGTAACGAAGGTCTTGTTTGTTTCTACGGATGACCTTCCAACTTGTTTGCTTCTTCCAACTTCCATAATTTTTAGTCTTCTTGTTTGTTTCTATGGTTCAGCTACTGAGTACATGGAAGTGTTCATTTGCTTTCCTTCCTATATCTGGTTGGTTCATCTCCTTTCCATGTTTTGTCAGGTGGGAGTTTCTAATGCTTAGTAAGGATTGGATCGATAGAGCTAACAAAAATCTTCTTCCAGTCTGGCCACTATAAAAACTTCCAACTTTTCTCCCACCTCAAAGCAGGTGTGGGGTGAAAACGAGGGGGTGATACTGTTATGTGTTCTCAGGAGATCAAAATCATCACATATTTGGAGATTGCGCCGTGTCTCTGAGGGATTATCACTTGATTATGGCTAAGGTCAACCTGAGCTAAGCTTTGGGAAAGATTGTGGTAGCATGCTATTTAAGTTCACTGAAACTGTAGTTGTTGAATCAGTTGGTTAGTAATACGTTAGATGGTAGGGATCCTTAATACTAGAAGGCAAGCAGATCTCGTGTGAATTAGATTTAGTTATTCCTATCAGAATGGTTAGATTTTCCTGCTTCCATGCTCAAATCCACTCGCATAAACAAAAGGTTAGCAGATAAATCTTTTTATTCGGCCTTCACCAATAACAGTTTGAGGTTTTGCTAATGCATATTTCTATTCTAATTCAATATCTCTCAATCAGAAGCCAGTCCAAATGTCTGCTGAAGTAATGCAAAAGAGCCTGGAGGATCATTCTCAGAATCATTCCATGAAGGATTTTAGTTATTGTCAAGCTACCAGTCCTCCGCACTTGAATGAGGAGTGTGATGCTGGCCATGTTATAGATTCCTCTTCTAATGATCATGGCAGTAAATCTGAAGAGAACGGGGATGAATACAAAAGTGAATGCACTGCAAGTGTTGATCATAATAGTGCAAATATTAAAAAGAGTAAGTCTTTAGGCTTTGGATTGGGCTGGGAGGAAGGAAGGCTGTATGATGACTATAACTCAGAGGATGAAAGTCGTGAAAGATTTTCATTTGATGGATCAGATACCCAAGATGGTGCCAAGGATTTCGTAACTAACTTGCTCAATAACAGTCAAGAGGTGCAGCCCTCTACATCTGTTCAAGTAAATTCTGATTTGGCAAACTCTGAATCTATATCTGTGATTGAATACCAGAAAGAGTCAGAGAGAGAAGAAGAATGTGAAAACTATGGCTTTCACCAATCTGGAGCTGATGAGCCTGTTGTGCATCCACCTCGCACTTCATTTACCTTTGCAAAATCATGTTCTTTGCCTAACATGCACTCCACTGGTCAACATTTTACATCCAGTATGCCTTATCCCAGATCTGCTGAGGATTTGATTGTTCTAGAGACAAGAAGAAAGGAAATTATAATGGATGGATTAGCGAAACAAGTTATGCAGCATGGGGAAAGAGAGGGCTATGTTCAAAATGATGAGAAAATTACTGGTGAAAATCCAGTTGATGACAATTATGGAACCTATAACTATGTGGGCTCAGCAAAAGAATGGATTGTGCCTGTGTTAGATGAGGTGAGTATGCAGAAGAACATTAATGGAGAATCCTTGGTTTGCCAGTTGAATGAGTTACCAAACAAGGATTTTAGGCAAAAACGAATTGAGGAGTGGGTTACAAATCTCCAGGATTGTGACCCTCTTGAAGAAACAAATGAATTAGCTATCCCTGATAGTAGTGATCATGAGAAGATACATAATGATAAAGTCTTGGATGGGTCACCCCTGGGAAAGTTGGACGAGAAGGTGAATCCTGGTATGGAAGCAGTTAAGAAATATATCTCTTCTTTGAGTGCTTTAGCCACGTCTGTTCAACTTGTAAATCACGGATTGGTTGTTATTCCATTTCTCAGTACCTTTCTGAGCCTCAAAGCACTTAATTTATCTGGAAACTCCATAGGTTTGCTTTCCACCCAACCTTTTTCTGAAAGTTTTTTTTTTTTTTTTTTTTTTCTGGCTTAGTATATCAAACTCATGTTTATTTGTCTTCTCTCTTAACTTCTGCAGCAAAGATTACTGCGGGTGCTTTGCCTCGAGGGCTTCATATTTTGAATCTTTCCAGAAATAATATCTCAACTATTGAAGGATTACGAGAGCTTACTCGACTTCGTGTACTTGACCTGAGCTACAATCGAATACTGAGAATTGGACACGGTATGGTTGTATTAAAATGTATTATGAAGTCTTGATAAAACCAAGTAAATGCAGTGTGAACAACATTTATATTCTGATATTGGTCAGTACAATAATAAATAGACCTGTCATGTATATAATATCCAATGGTCATGAAAAGAATAAAAGCTTGTTTTATCCATTCATTATGCAGTTGGAAACAGTTTTCCAGAACAACGAGAGGCTTTTATCAACAAAAAATTTCTATAATATTACAACTGGGTTGGTAGGGAAACTTAAGTGATCATTATGCTCGTTCTTCAATTCATGTGCTTCTTTTAATCTGCAGATAATGAATAAATAGACAACTAATATATCAATGGCAAGTAGATCTGGAAAAGTAATATATAGTGGAAATAAATGGCTTATTGCTGAGCAACAGTGACATGTAGTTTTGAATGGCATCTTAGCATGTATTACAGCATAATAATAATTTGCATAATGTAATGATTCTTAACTTGCAGGTCTTGCTTACTGTTCCTCCCTGAAAGAGTTGTACCTAGCAGGCAACAAAATTAGTGAGGTCGAGGGTCTTCACCGCCTCCTAAAATTGAATATTTTGGATCTGAGGTTTAATAAAATATCTACAGCCAAATCTCTGGGCCAACTTGCAGCTAATTACAATTCTCTGCAAGCAATCAACCTGGAAGGAAACCCTGCCCAGAAGAATGTCGGTCATGAACAGCTAAGGAAGTACGTGCAGAGTCTTCTTCCACAGCTCGCATACTATAATAGACAATCCATCAAAATTGGCACATTGAAGGATTCATCAGACCGGTCTTCTCGACTAGGCATTGGTTCCCACCAGGCTGACCGTGGCGTTAAAGCAGAACTCAAGGTTGTGCGGAAGGGAACCACAAGTGTTTCTTCACACAAAGCATCATCCTCGTCCATTCATGGTCGTAAAGGTCAATCAAATTCCTCACCGAAGCGATCCAAAAGCAGACATGGTCACTTGCCTCCAAGTGCATCTCGAAGAAGCAATCATCACCTTCATCCTAGTGAATCCAACAACAAGCTCGCAAATTTCAGACCCGAACCCTCTATGCGCAGGAGCCGCAGTGAGGGCACTCTTGGCATTTTCTGAAATATGATTATTTCTGATTTGTGATCAAAATACCAGTGACTTCTAGTCTGGGATGTTGATACATTTATGCCCCTGCTTGGAATTTACTTTCTTGTTATGTGATTGCAGCTGGTTTGTCATGTGTGAACCATTTGTTTTTCTTTGGTTTTATTTAAGCTTTCATGTTCCTTTCTGGAATTCCAATGTCAATAAAGGGCAGTTTTTATATTTTCAACTAGCATTTACATATTATTAAGCTGTTCTTTTACCCTTACTCTCCCCAACATAGGCCACATCAAATATTCTTTTGCCAGTTTGTTTTAATTAAGGTTAATGTTAATCCAAAGCTATTGAAGGTTAATTGCTTCAGGAGATGGGCTTATCAGTTGGGCCCAAATAAAATTCACTGGCCCACATATTTGGGCAACATAGGGCCCAATGAAAAAGATATCATTTGTAAAAAACAAAGGGAATCGAAGATCAAAAGGCAGTGACAAACTTTGTGTGGTCCAAGGCTATAAACTGAAAATATCTATGCAGCTAATATCACAATATACGCAAAGATTCGAGCCAAATTTGTAATTTTAGAAACTTAATGTATGCGGTGGAAACTGATCGATGAGAGAAGTAAGGGGTCAAAAGTTGATAAATAAACGAAAAAGAGGCTAAAAAAGAAAGAGCCTCTGAATTGTTCAAGAACCCTAATCTATCTCAACCGCCTGCCAACTCTTTCATGCGCCGACTCTGAAGTCTCTGTCTGAACACGCCCCTTCTGTTCTCCACCGGCCGCCGTCCCGACCATTTCCCTCCACTCACTCCGCCCTTTCTGTCATCTCTTTCTCTTATGTCCTTTGTTTCGAACGATCTGTCATCGCAGGTAACGGCGAACCCCATCTTTCTGTAAATTTTTTTTATTAGCTTTTCTGAGAATTAAGATGTGGGATTTTTCGTTTAATCTATATGTATTCATATGTGCGTGTGTGTGGGTGGGTGTTTTAACCGTGATTGTCTCGCTATTTTATTTTTCCCGAAAAAAAATTGATTTTTTTTTTTGTCTGTCACTAATTTATTTCACTTCCATGTGCAGGGCATTCACGTCCTCTAATGGGAGACTAACAATCTGATCAGATAAAAATATTACTGAAGTGGGTTCTCAACGTATCACGCTTGGCGGTTCTTTCTCTCTTTTTTCTTGTTTTTCCCCTTACTGGGATTTTTGCCTAGTGAGATGTGAATTGCCTTGACTCAGAAGGCTTTCAATCTTGGATTTTTATATCTCATCAATAGCCTTTAGCATGCATGGTTGTTGGGAACAGTTTCACTCACTGGATGAGTGTGTTTGTTCAAGATGTGAATTATGAGTAAAAATTTGATCTTGAAGGAGACGTTGACTTGTGCAGTATACAAATAGGAGAGGATTTTCATACCAGTGTACGCTGCAAAAAGGAAAAAAAGATTGGTTCAGGGGCAGGGGTTCTGCCTTTAGAACACGGGCCACCGATGCCTTCTGTTGGGATGAGAAGGACAACCAGGGTGTTCGGGGCAAGGGTGTTAAGATCAGGTAGAAGGTTGTGGACCCAAGTAGAGGGAAAGCATTTGAGAGCTGGTAATGGGGAAAAGTTGATTGGACTTCTTGAGAATGGTGGTGTTAGAGGTGGTGCTGAAGTTCCCCAGTGCAAGGAAAATGGGTGGCATGAAAATGATGCTTTCTCAAAGCAGCAAGTTACCAAAATGGAAGTAGATTCAAATTTAGAGAGTAGCGCAGTAGAACTTGAGTTGGAGAGGCATGCAGGGGAGGCTGTGAATGAGAATGCAAATGTAGGTAGGAGGTGGGGAGCTGTTTATAGACGGAAACGGAAGTATAGGGCTGAAGGTTATGATAGTGAGGACAAGGCTTTTTTGGAAGACAGGAGGTTTGGAAAGCATTTTGTTAGAAAGCAGTGGAAGAAAAAAGCTAGATATTCTCCCAAGGATTCCCCTGATCTACCTGGATCCGTTGCACTGTCTGTTGTCATTAATTCTTCTTGTTCATCTGGTCGTTCGATTTACTGCTTGTTGAATTCACTTTTGGGTTGTCTGCGGAGGTCTATGGTCAATTTGGAACAATTTATTGCATTCATATGCTCAAAACCAATTCGTGATGTATTCTCTTTGCATGGAATCCATTTTCTGAAGGTAAATTGTTTCTGTTGTTTCTGTCTTAGTTCCGTCTCTATGTTCTTGTCCAGCAAGTTTTATAATATTTTGCCCTGTTTTGGTTCTCTTGTAGGAATGTACTCCTGAAATGAGAGCTGGAGTTTGTATAATTTCTGGTGTCAGGTATTCTGTACCACTGTTCACTGTTAACTTCTCTGCAATTCCATGTTGCTTTATGTATCTCCATTCAAGTTTATCTCTAAGATCAGTACCACCCTCCTATGTTCTCTGGATGCCCTCGATGGGTATTGATGTGTCGGACGAAATGACTGATTACACTGATTATGGATTGTGTGATCGTTCTGAAAGTGATAAATCGGGGCATTCAGGTATAGCATCTGATAAAGATAACTCTAGGAAGTGGGTTCTTTCGCAACCAACAGTTAGGGTTCCAAAATTAGCTGCACGCAATTCACAGTTAAAGAGTGGTCGTATCCAGAAGAGAAGGAGAGGGATGAGGCCAAGGAGAGGTAAGCGTTCTTCCGTTATTGGATTACAGAAAGCAAATGGAGCTATGGTTTCTGATAGTTTGAGGTTCAGACACAGTGGCATCCAGTTGTCCTCCATATCATCCCATTCTGGGCTTAGGAGTTTGAATAAAACAACTGCCCGGAACATCAAAGAGCTAAAATCTGCCTTGTTGGATTCAACACGGGACCTAGATGCTACAAGCTGTTCAGCAAATCTGTTGGTCATAGAGTCGGATAAGTGTTACAGGGAGGAGGGAGCAGTTATTGCGTTGGAACAATCTGTTTCGAAACAGTGGACTCTTGCTGTTAAGAAAGGAGGGATGAGACGATACAACCTTACTGCCGAAAAAGTTATGAGGCCATGTAGTTCAAACCGTGTTACTCATGACATAATATGGACTTGTAATAATAGTTGGAAGCTGGAGTTTCCTAATAGACGAGACTGGTTGATTTTCAAGGAACTTTATAAGGAATGTGTTGATCGCAATGTACAGCCTTCATCAGTGAGCACCATTCCCGTTCCTGGAATATGTCAAGTGTCGGGATATGCAGATGCCACCTTCCCATTTATTCGACCCGATTCTTACATTACTGTAAAAACTGATGAACTAGCTCGAGCGTTGGATAAGAGGACAGCAAACTATGACTTGGATACTGACGATGAGGAGTGGCTGAATGAATTCAATAGTCAATGCTGCATAGAAAACAGTCTTCATCAGTGTATCACAGTTGAACGATTTGAGTTAATGATTGATTCTCTCGAAAAATGGGTTTTCTGTAATCCGGATGGTTCTTCTGATGATAAAGCTGCTCTTAATACTTGCCTGAGTTCCGAAAGAAAAGAAACTGCTGAGGCTGTTTATGGTTACTGGTGTAAAAAGCGAAAACAGAAACGATCTGCACTAATTAGGGTATTCCAGGTAAATATTTCATTCTTTTGCAGAAATGTTTGGTTTACCAAAGATTTGAACATAATACTAATATAGTTGGTGTTTTCAACATCGTCTAAAATTATTTTAATATTAACTGGACAGTTGTACCAACCGAGGAGAACTCTAATGACCGCAAAATGTGTTCTGCGGAAGAAAAGGTCATTCAAACGACAAGGAAGCCAAGCTGGAAGAGGCAAGCAACGGACTTTCTTACAAGGTGTGTGTGTCCTTTGTACCGTATTTCCTGTCATTGTTTTGTGTGATTATGTTACAATTTCTTGACCTTCTGAAACTATCAATGGTAGATGTCATATCCATGCTTATTGTTTGCTAATAACGAACTACTTAAAAACAAAAAGACCACATCCATGTTTTTCGTTTCTTGGTAAATGATTGGACTAGGTATTGGTCTCATTAGCTTCTTAGTGAAAGCAGAATAACCTCGGGTTTTGCTATTTTGTTTTAATATGTTGCATACCGATGTTTGTAATCTCAAATAAAATTCCTTTTACAGCGTTGGCCGAACAAGATGCTCAGCAGCAGCAGCAGCAGAGCGCCATTCTGAAGGTGAAAGAAGCGAAAGCTGCTGCGAATAGACAAGAGGGTTTAGCCGTTATCAAGCGTCAGAAAGCGCAGCAGCTCATGGAAAATGCCGATCTAGCAACGTACAAAGCTATGATGGCGCTAAGAATAGCCGAGGCAGCGAGGATTGCCGAATCTACTGAAAATGCTGCTGATGCATCATCTCTCCTTTCTTAATCTGGGCCTGACAGACATTCAAGAAATGGCCATTACTTTTGAGAAGCCTTTGAAAGTGAAGACAGGAGGGAGGGGATATGTGTAACGTTGTATAGATTTATGATTCGATGTACATTTTGTATGTTAGTTTATTGTTAGAGAGAGCGTAGGTAGAAGAGAGAGATATGTACCTTAACTGGGTTTGAGTTCCGACCAAATTGCTTCAAGAAGCCAGAAAATATAGAAGAAAAAAAAATTCAATATACATGCCAGTTTGAGCTTATCTACTTTGGTGAATAATTAGAAGATATAATTGTAACGTCATATTAATTATGGATGAAATTACACTACCTTATAACTTAGTGATTAAATTTTAATCTTCATTTTGTGTAATATTGAAATGATTTCTAGCTAATACTAAAATACATGGTGTCATTGAAAATTGATCATTTCAATAATATCAATTACAATCGTGATTGTACTTGGTCTTATTAAATCCACTCTAATCATGTATTCTACATGATATTATTGAAATTGTTTTTAATAATACAAAGTACAATCATGATTGTAATATGTATTATATATTGAGATGATTTTAAAAGGTAATATATATGTACATAGTATTGAAAATTATTTTAATATTACACATGTTATTGTGTTTTGTATAATATGATAGATCTCAATAAATATATATTATATATGTGTGTAACGATATAGAATTCTTCGTTCGAACTTCAATAATCCAACATGTTCAGCTAGGTCGAGTATAATTTTTGTACCTGAAAATCATGAGTTTGATTTGTAGGTCCATCATAAAAGGTTTTTCTAATACAATTTACTTATCACATGTGGTTTGTGAACTATTGCATAAGTGTAGAATTTACTTGGTGTTCATTCTCATATAATGACGATAAGTTTTTATCATCACCCAAAAATTAATTTTTTTTTAAAAAAATAAAAATAGCCCACCATGTTTTTTTACGGCATTAATCATTAAAAGCAGCCATTCTATTCTTTCTTAATACTTTGGTTTTCCTTTTCAAATGTTTGTAGGAACCCGAACTAATATTGCATATAAACTATAAACAAGAAGTTGCTCAATTATTGAAGCAACAAAAACGAAAGAGAAAGAGAAAAGAGAGTTTATCATAAAATAAATTCAATCAATACATATATAATAGATTCCATGAACTTGCTCTGCAATTGAGAACGAGTTTTAAGCTAGACTTCTCATCCACTAAGTAATTGAATACGTAATTCAATATATACTGATTGCATTTATTTTATAATAAAATCTTTTTCTTTCTTTCTTTCCCTTTTGTTGCTTCAATAATTGAGCAGCTTCTTGTTAGTGGGTTACGTTACCATGGTCCATTGGACATTATATATGCGTCCTGTAAAAGGGGGTTTCAAAGCTATCATAATGCACACAAAATCCTACCTTGTACCGAAGTTGCATGTTTGGTGTTAACTGTTAAGATAATTGTGTGGTGTCTTTGCGCGGTATAACCAAATAAAATTGAAATCTTTGAGAAGGGTCAGATAATGGATAATCCATGACCCCACATACTAATGAAGTGATGATTGGGTATCCGCACGCGTGGAGGTTGGAACACATTATTAATCCAAATGCATGTCAATCCATATTTAATAATTGGTTGCTTGATTAAATAAAAACACCAGATTTTAGTTGATAAGTTTATAAGTAAATTAATTCCCACGAAGGTAACTTTTTTTTTTTTGGTAATTTTAAATTTAATCTTAAATTATTTTTTTGTCATTTAATATTTTATATTATCATATTTTAAACACTTTTAATTATTTTGATAACTTTTTCAGTGAAACTTTATTTTAGGTCAGCGTAAATTCGTCTCTTAATTTTTTTAAAAAATTATTTTTCCAATGACTTAATTCAGCAAAAGTCCATTGTTTTTGGTGACAATGCCAATTAAATTTAGTCCTAGACAATCGTTTTTGCTATTTAACAATCCATACTATCATACTTCAGACACTTTTGGTTCTTCCGATGACTTTTTATGGTGAAACCCTATTTTAGGCAACACATTTTCATATCTTCATTTAAAAAATAATAATTCAGTTTTCTGAGCCATTTTTTTTTTCAATTTTCGTTTTTTCAGTCGTGGATTGCACCCAGCTCGTCTTCATCTCCTTCAACTAGGCCCCAAATCGTCTTTCTCCAATGGTTATACCGAGTACATGAGGACCTTCGAGTGCGAGGGAATCATTTTGCAATGTAGTTGGGAAGCTGAGGGTGTCGCCACCCAGTTGACTTTAGTCTGATTGCTATTGCTTTAGTCCATGATTATGTGAACCATATACTATAGTTGTAGAGCAAAAAAAAAAAAAAAAAAGTTTCTTCTTTGTCATCGGAAAATACCATTTCCATAAATAGGGTTTCACCCAAAAAAAAGTCATCAGAAAGATCAAAAGTTTCTAAAATATGATAGTCTAGGGTGTTAAATGACAAAAACGATTGTCTAGGACTAAATTTAGAATTGCCATCAAAGAAAAAGTGACCTTCGCTGGAATTAACTCATTGGGAAAATAATTTTAAAAAATTTGATGAGACGAAAATACTCTTGTCTAAAATAGGGTTTCATCAAAAGGACCAATAATGTTCAAAATATGATGTTCTGGGGTGTTAAATGATAAAAATGATAGTTTGGAACTAAATTTGAAATTACCACTAAAGATAAGGGACTTCGCTAGAATTAACTCTTTATAAGTAATTTTCAAGTTTGACTCCTAGTCTGAGTGGTTTATTAATCTTTTTAGTTTGAAGCGATCAACTATGAACAATCTAGTTAGGCTAGTTTACCAGCTAGGATGCTTGATTAGGATCACAAGGTTGAATATCTCCGCCTTGTACCTCCTTCTAATTCTTTGCCGACTAGAACCACAAAGTGGAAATTTGTACCCTCGAGTAGTGACTACAGATTTCTCTCGTCACCCAAAAAAGATTATGCCTTAAAAAAGGTGATTGAGTTAGTGAAATATGCTTTTTGTACGTAATGATCTAGTATGATGATGATTTACTTCTTTTTTATGATTTATAGGCTATTACCAAGTTCACGCTCTCAAACATTGGCAATTATGAACATGGTTTACCTTCTCCCTTGGGTACTAGTAGCAATTATGAGCATGGTTACCTCTCCTATGTGGTTGATTCGTGTGATCCCCATTTTTTATGAATAAAAAGTGTAATTATAATTATTTTTGTACAATGGAAGAAAACACAAGTACACTTATAATAAATATACAAGTCACTACTGTAAATCAACGAGTCAGAGATATTAAAAAAAAAAAAAAACAAAAACAAAAACTCCAAATCATTCCCGAGAATGACACACACACACATATATGCCAAGACTAGGAGAAAGATAGAGAAGAATGGTTACTCGTAATCTAATTTGCATATTTATTAATTTTCTTGTGAATATGATTAATCAAATAAAACCTTCTTTTTTTTTTTTTTATATATATCTCAAATAGTTTCAACCAATAGTTAATTTATATTTGTATAATCGCTCACATCTCGTATTTTATATACCGAAAGAGACATTAATTATATTTTAAATGATAATAACACTCCTTTAATTTTTAGTACATTTAATGGTAGACGTACAGAAGATGTAATTACCTTTTCATTCATACCTACTAACAAACGATAAATAACTTATCAATAAAATATATTTAAAATTTCAATAATGTACAACACTTCTAAATCTAAATAAATAAGAACTAAAAATATATTTTTTTAAATTAAAAAAAAAAAAAAAAAACTACAATCTAATAACAAGATAGGGTCTCAAACTTGCCAAACTCTACAACTATTATTGCCTCTAAACTATATTATCAAATCCTACCTACCTTGAAGTCAAACAATTAGGGATAATTTGGTTTATCTTAAATAACCTTGAATTCAAGCTTCATACATCTAGCATGTAACGGATAATATTTAATTTTTTTTTTAAATAACAACTCAGATTTTAAAATAATTAAGATCAAACATATATCAAACTAGTAATTGTCTCGTGCGATGCACAAATTATTATTAATTTAACAAATTTAGCAATTAAAATTTTGACACCCTCTTAATTAGCAAAGAAAGTAATGGTTGTGGAAACAGAAAAACGTACTTGAGTTCTTGAGTTCAGAATTAGTTTGATTAAAAATGTAAGTATAACTATACAATGTAATATTTATTATTTTTAACAGTTTAATTATGTTATTATTATGTTGATTTTAAACTTTATTGTTACTTGTATTGTTATTTGAATTTGAATTTTTTTGTTTGAAAGGAATTTGAAATTGAAATAACTACTTTAATTATATAACTAACGTATTTAAATAAACCTTGTAAATAAAATAACATACAATATTTGTCGAAAATCTCCACAAAAAACTTATTCATTTGAAAAAGATTATTTATGTAAGAACTATATTTATTTTATATCTAATTTCTCCTCTTTATATATGTGGAGTCAAATTAATTATAATTGAGATTTAAATGAATATATACACAAATTATATTAAATATAAAACTTTACCAATAAATTTGAACACAATAAACCTTTTTCCATATTTCATGATGCTTTAATATATATATAGAGATAGAGATAGAGCTATAATAATAAAATATAATTTATAAAATATAAATACACATAATAACTTCAAAAAATATATATATATAAATACATCTACCCACACAATTAATGCATTCATACTTGCTAATTTTGTTTCTATCAAAATGCATTCACACTTTGGAGGAAAAATTTTGTGGCTAGATTCTGTTTTATTATATACTAGTTTTTCTACGCGCTTTGCGCGAATAGGATAATGCCCAATACTTATTTTTAAATAAGTATTTCGAAGTATATTAATGAAATATTATATAGAAGATGTTCATGCATAAGTAAATAAATGTTGAATTTGTTTATTTAAATTGGTAATTTAAAGTATATAAATGCAAGATAATATATGACAGGTTTTTTTTTTTTTTTTTTGAAAAAATATGAGAGGTTGGTTATATATAACTGTCACAAAAATAAATGTTTGCAACTTTGTAATAACACTAATCTAAGTACTAAGTCTAAAAGCGATAGTCTAAATAAATACTCTTTTTGGTTTAAATTTTTCTAATTCTCTTTTGGGTAGCATTGTTATTGTTTTCATCTTCAGTACATGTCTTTATTATTATTATTTTTTTTTGTTATTGGTAGTGTGTCATGTGCAATTGGGTTATTGGTGGTATCATAGAACGATTCATCATGCAATGAGATTATGGAGTATGAAGTTTTAGATTTGTTTTGTTGTGTATATGATTTAGATCTTAGTTGTGCTATGAACTATTTATCTTACAAACACATGTTGATATTTGGTAGTAGTAGTTTTCCCCTACATGTTTCATGTGTTGTGAGACATCTAATTCTAAATTAATTAAATGCGTATGTATTTTTTTTTTGTTGTAGTTACTAATTTATTTTTTAATTTAAGTAATAAGAGCAATAAAGTGGGCAAATTATGTTGTGGAACCATGTCCACCTTGCAAGGTGGACACGGTTCTAAAATTGTCTATAATTATGAATATATAGTTCAAAAATTATAAACATATAGTTCTATAATTATGAACATAGAGTTGTGAACATAATTATGAACATATAGTTCTGTAATTATGAATATAGAGATTCAATAATGGTGAATATGAAGTTAAAAAATTATGAATATATACCTTTATAATTATGAACATATAGTTCAGTAATTATGAACATAGAGTTCTGTAATTGTGAATATAGAGTTCAATAATTATGAATATGAAGTTCAGTAATTATGAACATAGAGTTCAGTACATGTCCTTTTTTTATTTTATTTTTTTTTATTGGTAGTGTGTCATGTGCAATTAGGTTACTGGTAGAAGCATAGAGGGATTCATCATGCAATGAGATTAGGGTGTAGGAAGTTTTAGATTTGCTGTATATGACTGGGATTTTAGTTGTAATATGAACTCTTTAACGTACAAACACCTATTGATATTTAGTAGTAGTTTTTTCCCTACATGTTTCATGTGTTGTGAGATGTGTGTCGTAGATAATCATGTGAAAGTATTGAACAAAATATTAATATTTATTATATTTGTATAAAATACTTGATAAATAAATAAATAAATAAATAAATAAATAACATATTTATTTATTTATTTATTTATCAAGTATTTTATACAAATATAATATTCATAATTCATAATATATGTTTAACAATTATGCCAACTATACTTGGGATGGGGTTCGAACCTAAGACCTTATATAAATTAAGAGTATGTTAAGAATAATAAATAGTTAACGGAATATTCCTTACTAAAGTTTAAACTAACGGAATTTAGGGTTATTTAAGGAAGGAAAATAATATAATAGAGGGTAAATAAGGAAAATCATTAAAAGATACTAAAATCAAAATAATATGAACCATTCATTTTAAGAAACAATTAGTACCGACATTTTTTTTGTTCCAGTTAAGGGCCTAACATTATTCGCTCTTATTAAATTTGTAGATAAGGAATAAGGTTCAAATTGGCCACTGAACGTAACCTGAAAATGCAATTAGGCCACTGAACGAAAAAAAAAGTGCAATTAGGCCATTGAACACTCAAAAAATGTGCAATTAGGCCACTGAACTCTCCAAACGTATGCAATTTTACCGGATAGCAGGTTACCATCAATTTTAGCAGGTTACCTGCTTACGTGGCAGCTTAGTTGGCATTTTTAATAATTTTTAAATAATTTTTAATAATTAATTTTAATAATAAATTTTATAAAAAATTGGAAAAAATTAAATAAAAAATAAAATAAAGTCGTTTTTATTTTTTAAAATTTTTTTTAATAAAAAGTTATTATTTAAATTTATTAAAAATTAATTAAAATTTATTAAAAATGCCAACTCAGCTGCCACGTAAGCAGATAACCTGCTAAAATTGAGGGTAACCTGCTATCAGGTGAAATTGCACATTTTTGGAGTGTTCAGTGGCCCAATTGCACTTTTTTTTTCGTTCAGTAGCCTAATTACATTTTCAGGTTACGTTCAGTGGCCAATTTGAACCTTATTCCTATATATAAATATAAAGAAGATATATGAATATGATGAGAGATCTTCATGTGTACAAATCTGTCTTGGTTTGAACAATAATCCATTCAGTACTATCCGTGGATCAAATCATTATCAAAGTTAGACAACTTTACATGAAATACACTAAACCATAAAAGGCACCACAAAAAGTTAGGCTTCTTGAGACCTACACGTACATGGTTAAATTACTTCATGCTTAAGAATAATCGATTCAGTGTATATGCTCACTTGCTCAGTACGTACTGCCTATACAAGTGGAAATATGCTACTTGCCTAACATTTTTTTTTTAATGTTATGCTACTTTATTTAACAAAAATATTAACCACGACGACCGAGTTGGTCAGGTGGTTGACGGTAATTATAATGTTACAATAGTTTGACTCTTAGATGGAGTGACTTATTAGTCTTTTTAATTTGAGTCGATAAGTTATTAACAACCTAAGTTGTTTAATTACCTTCTTTGTGATCCTTTACGGATTAAGATTATAAGGCGAGATTTAATCTATACACACCCTTAAGATCTTGTATAGTGATTATAAATTTCTCTTATTAGTAAAAAAAAAAATCATTATAATTATAGAATTGAGCCTTTTACTATACGCTGAATTTTATAATGTTTTGTCGAAATATACAGTTAATAACATATGCCGTATATAATTAAATAAAACATAATAAAATTGAGGGTGTATCTCACTAGGCCATCACTTTAATTTAGAGATCGAATATTATTGAATTGTATTGCTTTTGTGAAAATGTTCCAACTTGCTTTAATTTAGTGATAAAGTGCTTATTTATTCATATTTTTCTCCCTATCTTTAGTCCATTTTGTTCATAGATTATTCTAAATTTCATGAGGATTAGTCTTAATTGTGTTATTTTGTAAGGAGTATGGGTTGGTCGAAAAGCTTTGGAAGCAAAGGTGAGTGAATTAAGGGAGGTTTGGAGCAAAAAGAAACTTCTGAGATCATATCTGCTACTCTCGTCATCCACCACGTAGGAAATCCTTTCGTGATATAACCAATTCCAGTAGCCAACTTCTACCAGCCACGAGCCTCACCACGTAGTAGTTCCCCAAGTGACATTCCTCTCACCACGCAGTAGTTTCCCTAGAGAGAACAACAAAACACCCGTGCTTCCCTTAACTACATCATTTAATATTAACAATATAAAAATATTACAAATACAACATGTTCAATAAAACATCCTTAAAAAAGCTAATTGAACCCCACATAAAAAAGAGGCTTTATCACACTCAAACTTATTCTTCGATCTAATTAAATCATTTTTTTTCTTTTTGCTTTTTATATAATTAAAAAAAATTATTGAATAGTACGTTTAATGTAATATTTAAATGTAAAAGTTTTACATGTTAATATGAAACTAAATATTATATAAAAAAATTGTAAATATAAGTGGCTTACCTTGAAAGGGGTGGCGGATTCTTGAATGTCATGAATATGATACTTTTCAATACCTTCTCAATCAAGCCGACACACATGATCTTCTTAGTACAATTTATCTCTTATGTGTGATTTGTGGACTTTCATACGAGAATAAGGTTTACTCAGTACACATCACATCCTTAGATAGTAACGACATGTTTAATTTCTCTCTTATCCTAAAAAAGACTACATCTTTTTTTTTTTTTTTTTTTAACTTTGTTATGCATGTAATTTCAGAATTTTATTTTTTTTCATTGAATATAGTAAGTTTAATGTAATATTCAAATGTATAATTTTTTATACATTAATATTAAACTAAATAATATATAAAAAAATTAAATTGTAAATAACTCGAGACAAACAGAGAAGTGTAATTAATTAGTGCACTCATTTAAATTCGGATATACACTAAACACATGAAAAATATCTTTCATGGTAAATAATAATATACAGTGAATAAGACTTAGAATGTGCCCTAGTGTCATAAAATTCATACTTTAAAAAACAAACCTCCCAAAAAAAAAAAAAAAGCAAACTTCCTACTTACAGTTAGTTACCAAATGTTCAGATATAACCAGAGGTAATATAAGACAGTTGTTTATTCTTTTTTAATATTAATTTAAAGAATACGACACTGAGGCGCAACATAGTAGTCGCCGTCAATATCTTTGTCATATTTTAAGATTTTCCCTCGGAGCCGCCGTTTCTGACTTCATCAGATCTAACGGTGGCCGGAAGTATCCAATCAACCAATGGAAAGCGCTCAGCCCCAGCGATATTGAGACTATGGCTCCGATCTTACCCAGAAAAATGGTTGCAAGTAGGGCCAAAACAATCGTGCAGAAACATGATGACATCCAACTCGAACAAGAAGTAATTGGTTTTTCATGGCTTGATCGCTGCGTTTTTGATTCAGATGTCGATGAAGAGGTTGAAGAACTTGAGCTCCACGTCAGAAGATCAATGGCGGCGGACTTTTCTTCTGCCTGATTCTCAGCTTCTGGTTTCCCTGGTTCACTGTCCAGTACGTGGAAAGGCTTTCTGTTTTTCACTGGACCCTTGCTTTTCAGCTGAATTGGAAGCTCAAGTTGATGAATATTTTTCTGCAGAAATGGGATGGAGGAGACTGTTAACTTTACAAGAAAAAGAAAGGGTTAGAGGAATGGACCATAGGATCTGGAAAAAACTGACCATGGGATCTGGAAAAACAATGGCTTTGAAGAGGCTAGGAAAGTGCTTGAATGCGACACGTTTTCGTCGGATCAATTTTCGGTTTTTACGGCCCGACACCGAGGACGATGATTCGCTGCTCGATGATGAAACCATCCCAGTATTTCCACCTGGGACAATTTTTGTAGAAACAGAATCATAAGACACCTCATGATCATGGCTGACAACAACGTCCTCTGCTTCCACGGCGACCGGCCGGAAACACAGGGAGAATTTGTGTTTCATCGTTTCTGTCACCCCTTTCTGGGTGGCTCCAAGAGGATTCTTTGAGACAAAAATATATGAGAGAGAGAGAGAGAGAGAGAGAGAGAAGAAGAAGAAGAAGAAGAAGAATAAGAAGAGATTGAGAAGAGGTATATTGGATAGGATTTAGAGCGGACAAAAAAGACGAGTGCGAGAAAGATGAGAGGAGGAAAGACTAAAGAAATGAATGGCGTGTTTTGTTGGATTGGGGAATGGGGAGCGTTGTGACTATTTAGGACTGCGTTTCTACTTTTAGTTTCTTGGTAGCTAACGGACGCAAGAGTGTACAAGTGCTATGGTACTATATTTATATAAACCAGTTTTTGAAATATACATAATTTAATGCTGTCCTGATAGGCTGATAGCTACTCCATAAAATTAGGTGAGGTAGAAGTGATGCTGGCAGGAGGTTAATTAATTCACTGGTTTAATAGACAGTATTTATCACAACAGATCAAAGTTTGAACCACGTCAGCGGTAATGTGGGGGCCAAAGTGGATAAATTCTTTAGAGCTTGACACAAGTTTGATGAACACAAAAAATGATATTAGTGTTTTACAACCAAATATCATTGAGAACTCAATGTTACATCTTGATTATTGCATTTTATAATATATAATAAATAAATAAATAAATGTATATATATAGCTTGAATTTATAATTTGAACTATTTGAATTTGTCTTGACATGCAGTAAGTCAATAACCAAATCAAATTCAAATATTTATTGAATTAAACTTAGTAGCTCACGAGTAGTTTGACTAATTTACACCCCTACCAAGTACAATCTCATTGCATTTAAGACAATATTCAGTACAATCTAAATAACATTTTTAATTATCTATATATAGTGTAAAAAGACACAAGTGTCAATAGACATAGTATTTTTAATTATATATATATATATATATATAGTGTAAAAAGACACAAGTGGGCTATAAGTAACCAATCATATACCATGGACCATGTTACATCTTACAAAGTGTGAACTTGACATAGAGTTCATTTTCAATATACTGAAACTTTTTTTAATAATACATTGAATATTATTTTTTGAAAGTGTACTAAAGATTAATTAATTATTTAGTTAAAAAAATAATTGTGATTAGGCGGGAATTGAGATGTTGAGATTAGGGTTGGGGGGAGAAAGTCAAGTATGACCGAAGTGTATCTTATATTCTGATGCCTATATCCCTTTGTTCCATTTTTGATATTCCCACATCTCTCTTGGTCCCTACCAAAAAACACATGTGCACTGAATTCGCATGCACTCTAAAACCTCCACCAAAAACACATGCATTATGTAATTCTTATAAAATTTGTTAACTGACTTGATTGATGTGAAACGCTAAATAAATTGTCAAAAAATTAAAAATAATAATAATAATAATAATAATGGAGCTTTTTAAAACTACAAAGCTCCCCTAATAGGACTTGTCAATCTTGTCATGGACTAGTAATGATATGGGTTTTGGTTGGGTTAGTCGGAACTTTTATATATGGTAATTTTATAGCGGCAAAATGTCAACGGTGGGAAGGAGTTTTTATGGTAAGAGAATGCGGAGGTTATGGCTGGGGTGAGGAAAGTTCTTAGTTGGTTGAAGGCTCAGAGTTTGAATATGGTTGAGGTGGAAATGGATGCGCATCAAGTCCTTTTTTGCTCTTTAAGGGGATCTCGAAGTGGTGCTTTTGGGATTATTATTGACGATATTAAAGAGATAGTGTCTATGTTTGATAGCATGTCTTTCTCTTTTGTTCCTAGATCTACGAATTTGGTTGCTCATACATCGGTTAAAGAAACATGTTCTATGCCAGATTTTATGGAATGACATGTTGCCTCTCCTGCTTTATAAAACTCTGTTCTTGAGCTGGATGTAAGGGTGTTTATGATTGAATGATGTTTTTTGTTTGGGTTTAAAAATTAAATAAAATAAAATAAAATAAAAATAAAAGACGGCTGTCGAAAGAAATTCAAAAAATGAAAAAGATTGACTGCTAAAATGCTCATGCATGAATTAGGCAAATTATGCCCTGGACCCGTGTCCACATTGAATTGTGAACACGGGCCCAAAACGACGTCGTTTTTTTAAAAAATGCGTCATTTAGTTAAAAAAAAAAAAAAATCGCGCGCGTTTTGCAGTTAACGGCGTTATTATTTTTTTTTTTTGGATTATGAATGTACAGTTATGCCGTTATGAATATACACTTATGCAATTATGAAATTATGAACACAGAGCTCTAACATTATGAACTTACAATTATGAACATATATAGTGATAAAATTATGACCATGGAGCTTTAAAATTGTGAATATAGAGCTTCGAAGATTATGAATGTACAGTTATGGAGTTATGAATGTACAGTTATAGAGTTATGAATCTACAGTTATGGAGTTATGAATCTACAGTTATGAGATTATGAATCTACAGTATGGAATTATGAATGTACAGTTATTGATCAAATTATAAACAAAGAGCTCTAACATTATGAACTTACAATTATGAACATATAGAGATAAAATTATGAACATAGAGCTCTAAAATTGTAAACATAGAGCTTCGAAAATTATGAATGTACAATTATGGAGTTATGAAATGTACAGTTATGGAGTTATGAATGTATAGTTATGGAGTTATGAATGTACAGTTATAGAGTTATGAACGTACAGTTATGGAGTTATGAATGTATAGTTATTAACATATAGTAATAAAATTATGAACATATACTCTTACAATGAAGCGGTCTGAAATTTAAAAAAAAAAAAAAAAAAAAAAAAAAAAAAAAAAAAAGAGATAACAGTGCCTAACGGCACTGTTACCCGTGTCCAGCAAACATGCTGGACACGGGTCCAACGCATAACGATTGCATGAATTAAATTTGGGCTGGACTTGAACAATACACATCCTATCCAACAATTCACTTGGCCCAATTTTGATGGGCTGGGCCAGTGGACCTTTGCAACACTTTAATCGTATGAATAAGAAACTCTGGAACTGATGGACAGCTCAGTTATCAATGCTTATTAGGTGGATTATGGTCCACAACTTATCATGCATAGAATAAATTATTTTATGTAATGTATAAAACACATTATTTTCATACATATAATACATTATTTTTATACGTAATTATTTAGGTGTGTATATTTTAGGTTATTTTTGTCGTACACAAGATTTATTATGTGTAGAACATATATAAAACTATTCAGCATGCCCCACCACTCCCTTTACATAGAAATCTAATATTTAGTAAATTAATGTTCATTATTTGTATCATAAATTAAAGTATACTATTTCTGATAATATGTTTCCGTGCATGGTCCATAGTAAAATTTGTTTCTAGTTGTTTCTTGTGTAGTAGATTATAGATAAGGATAAGGAAACTTGTTTATGATATTGGAAAAAACATTCTATTTTTTTTTGGTAATCTGAAAATAGTCTAAATTTTTCTAGCCATTTTCAATTTTTTAGAAAACGGTACAGAAATATTTTTGAACAAAGACAACCCCATTTGAGTTAGTCACCGTTAGTTTGTTGACAACCACAAGATTCTAAGCTTGACTCTGTATGAGAGTTGTATATTGGTCTTCTTGGTTTACCTCCTTGTAATTATTTACTAGTGGATTACAAGTTAAACTTTACTACTTTTGAATAGTAGTTGTGGATCGACTTTCTCATAAATTAAACAAATGTCTTTGTTAAAGACTTTATGGTCAAACGACATAACTGTAGCTAAAAAAAAAACAAATGTCTCTGATAAAAGAAAAAAAAAAAAGGAAATAATAATAAATGCTACTCCTGAAATTTCCGTGAAGTATAGTTTTCAACCTATTTAATGAATTGAAAACACAATCAATCAGGTTATTATGAGATAATATCAAGAGACTAACAGTCAATAGAGCAAGAGAAAAAATCTGAAACGTGTTTTAAGATATTCAGACAATTCCCTACACAGGTGGAAGATGTCTCACACATTCCAAATTTCACAATTTTGGCTAACCATGAAAAATGCTTCTTGGATGAAGCTTTGGTCTTATCTTATTTAATGTAATCTTAAAGAAAACCGTTAACCGTCTATTGCCCCTACATCAAAGGGGTATATATATAACGGAAAATAACAAAAAATTTTAGGGGTGTTTGGTTCAAGTTATATAAGTTAACTAAGGTTATATTTGTTTGGGAATATAAGATTTTCATGTTTGATTAGGTTATGTAATTTTCTCAGGAAATGTCAAATAATCTCCAGATATAGTTTTTAGCTATTGTAAGGGAATATGAAATACCCTCCAATTTTTTAGGTAATCTCACATCCCCTCATCTTATTATTAATTTTGGGCTTTTGATATTTTAATCAATGTATCTTATTACCGTTGTCTTATTTACATACCTTAGTCTTACACCAAACACGGAATCTAACATTCTCTAAGGTAATGTAACATTTCATGGTCCTTCAGATAACAGAGACCAAAAACAGAGTCGTCCTTTTTTATACGATCGTAACAGAAACGAAGGGAGTCAGGTGTATGTTAGGGTGACTTTTGTACCAAACTATGAGTTTGATATCTATTACCATATTTGTTTGTCTATTTTTGTTATCCTATTATTATTGGATTCAAATTCTTTAGTAATAACAAAACACATTGGCCCTGTTTGGTGAAATAGTTAGTCTATCGACTAATTTTGGCTTATTTGATCACTATTAATTGTTTAATTTGGTTAAAAAAATCAATATAAGTGTTTGGTAAATCAGCTTTTTGTACATCCAAAATGCTAAAATGCAAAAAGCTGTTCAAAGCAACTTTTTCAATTAGCTTTTTTATAAAATAAATTATACCAAACAGCTATGCTAATTTACCAAACACCTTTCTACAATCAACTAATGTTATCAACTAGCTATACCCTCTAACCCAATCAACTAATAATCATTTACCAAACAGGGTCATTATCATTTTTGCTCTTTTACTTCTGAACAATGAAATTAAGAATAATTGAAAAAACCCGCACGGGCTTAGCTCAATGGTTTATTTTTGATCTGTTGGGTTGGGGATTCAACCTTTTGTTAAAGGGAGAAGAGATTAAGAGAAGAGTAATAGAAAAAAATGAAAAATAAAAATAAAAATTAAAGGTCATTGTCAATGCATTAAATATTAAATTTTATATGTGTGTCTGCGGGCTGACAATAAATATTAAATTTTAATGTGTATCTGTGCGCCGCGCGTGTTATATATTTTTATATTTTTATTAATTCTAATTTTAATTAATTAATTAATTATTAATTTTGATTCCAATTCATATTTACGTTACTACCAAACAAAGTGACTCGTTATCCTTACTAAGTATTTGATTCTCATTATTATTTTGATTCTAATCCTAATGTTTGAACCAAGCACACACCTCTCTCATATATATATATATATATATATATATATATATATATATATATATATATATAAGAGTAGAACTACATGATTAGACATAATATTGAATTTACATTGACCATTCACATGATGTCCTGGCTTTACACAACACACATAGCTTACCTTCGACCAAACGTGATGCATGCAAAGAAAGAATGAAAGACAGTGGCACCACAGGCCGGAGAAATCACCTGGAAGGTTTTTAAGTCTATTAAAGCTGCCATCCGTGTCAGTCTTGTCAAAAATTCTTAAAATTCAAGAAATCTTTATGATATTTTAAAATAATTTTATCTCTTTTTAAAAATAAAATTGACTAGTTCTCAGTTGCCGATTTAAACCGTTTAATATCAATATATTAACACTTTGAAACACATCTACCAATATTGATCTAGCTGTGTGTCTCTTGGATTGGAGATGCCCAGTCTATCGTCCTGAAGTATGTTCACTGCTGAAAATTATGAAATTTCCGACCACCTGAAAGTAATTTTAATTCAAGTTAAAAGCCTTGTTCCGACCACTTTTGGTATCTGGAAAAATCTTTGTTGCTATTTTCGACCACCTTTTGCTTTTGACTTGATTTAAGATCAGGTGGTCGGAAATTCTATAATTTCCAGTAGTGGTTGGAAGGATCTCTTTATGGAGAGAGTAGAGAGATCTCCGACCGTTTCTTTATCGGCGAAGTTGATGTTAAGAGGTTATTTATTTATTTATTTTAAGAATTCAATTTTGTTGATTTAGGGTAAGTTATGTGAAGGGGAACTCCATTAACGCAAAAACATACTCCTTTTGCATTAGAAAGTCCCCTTAGCTTTCTACAGGTCAGCGGTCAAAGTAATGAGGACCACAAATAGAGGACTTAAGACTAAAGACTGAAGAAAATATTTGTCCAATTTAAAATGACCTGATTGCCCTGTCTGACGATTAATTAATAAAACTATTAAATTAGTTTGATCAAATGGCTGAAAATTTTCGAAGAAAAAAATGGCGTACAAGCGCGAAACATGAAGATATCAGGCTTTAGTTTTTTTTTTTTTTTTTTTTTTTTTTTCCTTTTTTCGGTTTAATACAAGATATTTTCAAATATTATTATGTCATGTCATAGAAAGTCGAGTAATTGAGAAAATCATATCATGAATTAGGATAGAACTTGTAAAGTGGATCTAAGTACATAAAAATAATATTGAAGGTATATTTAAATAATACTTCAAATTAAAATACCAGACTTAGAGCCAACTGCCTTTGTCGGACATGTGCGAGTTAGTTTGCTAATATGCGAATGAAGCTAATTGAACATGAGTTAATGGTCCTAATGAGCTTAGCACATTCATTAAGGGCAATGCCCACATGCGAAAGGGTCGTAGTATTATATTCCTTGTGTGGGTACATGCAACGTTCTGACAATCTGTTTCCATCCGTACGTTACTAAGTTTTTTGCGCTTTATTTAAGATAGCACTTCTTTACAGACCAATGCTTCTGTCAACGTCGATTCATCATCATAGTTTAGAGGTCCATTAGATACTATTACAAAGGCCCTCACACCATCGAGTACACAAAAACCAAACATACCTTCCACTATCTCCAAACTAATTAGCATCGACCTTGTAAATATGACTCCCTATTGGTACTGGCATGGGCGGTGGTGAAAAACATGCTATCCTTGTTCTGCCTGTCAAAGTCTTACGTCATGTATTTATAGATTTATTTTCACAATTTTTTTTAAAAATCAATATGAGTATTAAATAGAGTTTTTCAATAATATTATACATTAATTTTATTTATTAAAAAAAAAAGAAAAAAAAAAAGGTAAGGAGTTAAAAATTCCATGATCCAAACAATAGCTGTGTGATACATGAATCATGATATAACTACCGTGGTAGTTGTGTGATACATGGAAGTAACTGGAAAGGTTAACGGGGGGAGGAATTCCTAAACAAAACATTCTTGAAACATTAGGAAAGTTTAAGGAAAAACTTTTTTTCTTTTTTGAAAAATCCAATAAAGATTTGGCATTATCTTCAACTTTTTAAACTGTACTATACGCATTATCTGTGCAACTTTATTGGATAGGTAATTAGAGAGTTCCTCGAATAGAACTTCTAACTGTTATAAGTAATTCAATTTTAAATTAATCAGAAATTTAAGATCATTTTAAAAATATGAAAAATATTTTCTGAGATATATAGAATTTTTTTCAATCACTAAGTATATTTTTTGAAAAATATGAAAAATATTTTCTGAAATAGACATTTTATGTCACAACGAATCATTTTTTTTTATTGATCAAAACGAATATTTTTCATTAGCTTTGTTTTTCGTTGATAGACAAATACATGAAGATTTATAAAATGACTTAATGAAATCATTTTTCGAGTTTACAAATGGACCATTTATGTAATTATTGGATATAGGAGATCTTGATTTTACAAATAAAAATAAAGACTACCCATTAGCTTGGGAAGCATGACTTGGGCTAAACCCAGTTTAATCTTACAATGGTGGATGTATCAAACGCACTTTGCAAAAATTTTAAAAAAATTATTATTATTATTATTATTATTATTATTATTATTATTATTATTATTATTATTATTATTATTATATTGTTATTTGTTATATTTGATTTTCTTGTATATATATAACTTCGTTTTCAAAAAACTTTAATTGTAATACACATACAGCTCAACATTAATGATCATTGATTTTATTTGACTCACTGTTTGTCTACGGCTTTGATTTATTTAACTTACTGTTTTTCTGCAGTGAAAACTCTGTCGAAAGTGCAAAATCCGTCTATCAAACTTCCAAAGTAAAAAATTTCCGGGTAGTTTCATTATTGGACCGGATAAGGTTTGTTAGCGCCTAGGGGGTAAGAGACTTTTATAGAGTGATAAAAAATGTTGTAAAGACTAGAGTAATATTATATACTTTTAATTTTTATCTCATTTTTATTTTTTATTTATATAATGTATTTTGATTCATTTAGGGAAAAAAGTGCTTTATATTATTTTTAAATAATACATAACATGTGTCTTATTTATTAAGAGTTCATATTTATTTTCTTTTGAAAAATGTTATTTATGTTTATTTTTATTAAATATATCAATTAATGATAGTAAGAATACCACATACTCCGTATTAGATAAGGTTCTTCTCCGATCCCCCAAGGTTGAATCCCCAACCGCCTAAGGGCCTTCCATACTTTGACCTGACATAGTATTTGGGAGGATGATAAATCAAGATTACTCAATGACTCAGTAAACAGAGTCAAATGTCGGTGCGCACAAGGAATTTGCCCGCTTTAATTTGTATTGTACATAATCCCTACACTATTATTGAAAAAGTTCGAACCTTAGTCTCTTCTCTCAAATACTGCATATTAAACTTGTGAGCTAAAACCGTGCAAACACATATTAGATAAGGTTTGTAAGGCATAGGGGTGGGATATCAAATTTCGGAAATGCTATTTATATTATTTTTTTAATTAAATATTGCAATTAATGATAGTGACATATCACATATGAATATATGATTATTATTATTATTATTATTATTATTATTATTATTATTATTATTATTATTATTATTATTATTATTGAATTGAAATATGAAATTTCACGAATTAGATAATAAAAGTGGTCTATTTCACCAAAAAAAAAAAAAAAAAAAAAGTGGTCCAGATTATCTGTTAAACCTGATTTTATTTGAATGATTAAATTGAGCCGAGATATTATAGCACTAAGAGAAGTCGATATCAACACACATGCCGTCAGGTGGCTGAGCTATTTAATTGGATTTTGGCACGGAGCATTTTTTTTTAATTTTTTTTAATCATGAGCCTAACCTTTGATTTAGGGAAAATTCGCAAGTACTATTTAAAATAAATTGTATTTTAGGTGAATCGCGTTTTATGATCGACCAGGTAAAGGATCAACAAACCACTTCATCGGTTAGGTTGTCCGTAATTGTTCCGTTCAAACTAATAGAATTAATAGACAGCTTTCATGAGCCTAACGCACTCAGTGCATATAGAACTAAATTGATTGAACAGTTGACTTAGACACTTAGTAACTAGGCTCGATGTTCCAACTTACATCCTAAGGAATGATTTTAAACCACAATTATATAAATTAAAATTATCTTCAATCCAAGAATTAGTAGTGAAGTGTAGACAAATGAAAGGCCAGCAGTAACTTGAAATTCAACGTTATCAAGCTAGCTAGCTAAAGTGCTAAACCTTAGTGTAAAATTCCGTTCAAATGTTTGAACCGTTATAAGACGTTCCGTAGGGCGTAGCCAGTGTGTTACTCATGGCGGACGATCATATCATATCATATCGGGACTTAGACTTTTAAAGACGGACCCAATTAAATTTCCATGAAGTTACTGAGTCAACCCCGGTGTTGTTAAGTTGTGCGAGTTCAAAAAGCCATTTTCATTCTACGAATGAATATGATTTCAGAATCTTCATGGAGGGACCCCTTCAATTCTCTCCCACTCCCCACCCCGGCCTGCTTTTCGTTTCATACTTCATTTCACTGTTCCCCAGCGCGTGTTGCACGTTTCCACTCCTCCAAATTCCTATAAATTGCCCCTTCTTTGAAATTTTCTGTCATCAACTAACTAAGCCTGATCGATCATATTCAATTCCAGATCCCCAGAGAGAGAGATGGTGCGAACACCTTGCTGTGATGTGAGTGGGATGAAGAAGGGAACATGGACGGTGGAAGAAGATAAGAAGCTAGCTGCTTATATTACTAAATATGGCTGCTGGAACTGGCGCCAGCTTCCCAAATATGCAGGTTTCATATATTATTTCTTAGTGATTATAAGAGAATTTTGATTTGATTGGTTTAGTATTGATGACTGATGGTTTTTGTTGTTTGGGTTTGATGAATTGAAGGATTGTCGCGGTGTGGAAAAAGCTGCAGATTGAGATGGATGAACTATCTGAGGCCCAACATCAAAAGAGGAAACTACAGCCAAGAAGAAGATCAACTCATCTTGAAGTTGCACCGTCAACTGGGCAACAAGTACGTTTTTTGTTGGAAATTTATATAGTAATGGAGATGATGGTTCAGATAAACTACCATGAAAGCTTAAATAATATGCTAACTCATATATATTCCTGATTGATTGCAGATGGTCTGCCATTGCAACACACTTACCAGGAAGAACAGATAACGAGATTAAAAACCACTGGCATACTTCTCTCAAGAAACTCACAGAACAAGGATATGCATCATCGTCTTCCCCAACTCAACAACCTAGGAAGAAACCCTCCGCCGGTCGAACCAAAAGGTCACGCAAACAGCAAGAGATTCCTTCTTCTGTGTCCGCACATGAAATCTTGGAGAGTTCCCAGTGGTCTTCTTCTTCTTCTTCTTCTCCTTCTTCTTCTTCTTCCCCGAGCATAGGAACTTCATCGCCAAACGGCGAAAACACTCCTGAGCCTTCTCCAGATCAGATTCAAACGCCGCAAATTCTTGGGTCGTCGGAGGATGAGAGCTTTTGGAATGAACCGTTCTTGCTGGACAACGCTTTCGCCTCCGATGATTTCCTCGACTACCGGCCGGCTTCTCCCTTTTCTCAGTACGGCGAGTTTTCCAGCTCCTGCAACTTAGTTGATGAACTTGTCAATGAGTTGATGGATTATTTGTGAAATGTTATTACTAAGCCTAGCAAGCAAGTAATATATGCTTTGCAAATCAGATGAAATACACACAGACACACGTACATGTATGTGTGTATATATATCATATATGCATATACGCATGTATGTATGTATACATGTGTACGTGTATGTATATGAATATGAACTTGTGTGCATGATTATATTATAGGGTTTAATTCCCATCACTTCTGTATAATATTATCCAACATGAAGCTGGACTTGATGAGTTTTCTACTTAATATTGTGTTACATTTTAGCTTTAATTATTATGACCCTGTTTGGTAAAATAGTTAGCTTATCAGTCAATTTTGGCTTATTTAACCACTATTAATTGTTTTACTTGATTAAACAACAAGTGTTTGGTTAATTAACTTTTTGTAACAACTTATTGATAAAGGCTAAAATTCAAACTTGATTAGCTTTTGAGGAAGTCATTTTACATATACTCAACTATTATTAGCTTACCGCTAATTTACCAAACGTCTTTCTACAATCAGCTAATACTATCAACTAATTAAACTCACTAACTCAATCAGCTAACAACTATCCGCCAACAGCTATTTACCAAACACTTCTCATATCTTCTGATACTTACGTGTTTGTCTTTCACCCGTCTTTAATTCCCTGGTTTTACATCTTTCAATTGATAATGTTTGTTGTTTTTCATCATCAACACAATGGCTGATTAGCTTGTCGTGCTATGTAAATAGTCTCAATATATATATATATATATATATATATATATATATATATATATATATATATATATATATTGAGACTAAATAATGTTGTTTCAAGATCATTTATTATGTTCAAAATGTCATACAAGAGTAAGTAAAGTTAATTCATATTTTAAATTAATTAGGGTTTAAGGGATTGAAATATGTATTGTTTAATTTCCTCCCTGAATCAATTGAGGTTGTAAATTTGATGGTTAGTCGTTGTCTCATTCAATTTTAAATATCTATTTAAGGTGTGCTCAGACAATTATCTTGAGATTTCGAGGACAAAAAGAGTGAGACCTAATATAACATTGAGTTTTGGATTTCTCCCTCCCGTTTATTATTGACAAAAATAGATAACCGGCTAAAGCCTAGGGTAGCCTCATACAGTTTATCTTATCTCAACACCTTTTTGGAAATGAATACAACATCTTAACTACGTGCAATTAGTCTTTGTTGGATATTTTCAGATATATACATTCATGTGTGGTTTGTGGTTTACAATCAAAAGGAGTACATGGTACCGATAAACTTTTAGAAATGTCGGTACAGACGAGTTCTTGCATTTTTCCTTCTTCTCTATTATTGTTTTTGCCTAAAGATATGAAATACTATAAACTTTGTCTAGAACTCTAATGGACATAATATATATATATATATATATATATATATATATATATATATATATATATATATATGGAAGGAATCAGGTGCGGGTGGTGCTTCCTGTGCGATTGTGCGGGTGGACTCACATTAAGCATTATACTAGTGCACTTTAAGTACACAACAGAAGCAAAATAAACACACAAACAAAATACATTCAGAACACAAACTTATGCACCTTAAGCACAAAATTCACGCACATTAAGCACAAAACTATGCACTTTAAAATTTCAACAACAACTCACATTAAGTACACATTAAGCACACAACTCACGCACCTTAGACACAAGACTCACGAACCTTAAGTACAAAACGCACGCACATTAAGCACTACACCCTCACGCACATTAAGCACAAACCTCACGCACCTTAAGCTAGCACAAGACTCACGCACATTAATCACCCACACAACCACAAGGAAAGCATTCACCCGTACTGGAACTTAAACCTATATATATATATATATATATATATATATATATATATATATATATATATATATCTTTTGGCATAGTGGTGTGTGCTTGATTCAAACAAGTGGTACCTGAGCTAAATCAAGAGCAAAAACTGTGCAGTTAAGGCGTCCAGAAAAAATTATTGATCAAGTGGAGGCCTAAAGGCCAAGTCCGACACCAAGTAGCTAGGGTGATTGTTAATTTTCATTAAAAATACTTGTCTACTAACTAAGAGAAAGAATACGTATACATTTTACATTAAAGTAAAAACAAACAAGAATACCAGAAATTAACATTTTAATTTAGAAAATAATTTAGTTTTCAATACAATGGGATAAATAAGAGAAAAGAGCAAAAACAGACTAAAATTCAACAAGACATTGTCTAGCTATGCTTTACACTATCAGTTGCTAAGAGCAACTTAACTCCGTTTCTTGTGTCATCTATAAATCACAGATTATACTGTTCCCTCGTCTTATGTGTTGGCAATTTCAAAATAGATATAATATATATGTTGTAATATAGATTATTTGAGAAAATATTACGGAGTATCTTTTTAGTTCTAGAGATATTGGACATGGCTGCTAGCTCCCAGCCACCCACTTTCTAGAATAGATAATTAATGTCAAACTTTTCATGCATAGGAGAAACTATCCGTATGTGCCCGCAGTACTATTTCACTGTATAACTATATGCCATCCACCATCCATTCAGATAATCCTGCCATGCAAGAAAAAGTTTGATGAACACGTTCAAAGTACCCAACAGTTTACTGTAGAAATATTTATAATTTTAATTTATTTTTCAGTACCACGGAAGATATAAAAAGATCTGATTGCATTAAGTATGGTCAATCATTTCAACCATGTCTATGAACAGTAATGACTGAATCCTTTCAGCACGGAAATGATTAAATGAAAAAATCACGTCAAATAAAAGGTCATTCAATCTGCACGATTATTATCTTGTCTCGTGTGATATATGATTTTAATTTATTTTTCAATATTCAAAAGATGAAAGAAATGTAGGATCACATATTACTATTACACGCCTGGACGCAATTGTTGTGCTCAACGCCCAAATAATTGCTGTTTTTGTTCCTTTTCTCTCTCTTGACAGGTCCCACTAAGAACCATTACTTGCCCGAGTGAAATCTACCGAACTTGAATTTTTCACCTGCAAAAACATCCCAAAAATAACTAATGGAGATTTTCTTATATTGTGTGATAAGTTGATACCTGCAAGCCGGCATTGGTCAAAAGATGGTATGAAGAAAATCATTTCTATGTTTTTTCTTTTTTGTGTTGCCTTTTACTGATCTTCCATGAAGGTGGCCTTAACATAAAATCTGTCGTCAAAAGCACTTCCACTCTCCATTATTTTAGTAATTTATTCCTGGATAAATATTAAGGAAAAAAAATGGTTGGCCCCCTCCTTCACGCCGTTCAAACTTGCAGTTCAAAGTCAAACCACACTGATTACCACATAATTTCACTGGTAAAGTTATGTCAGGGTGTGATGTTTTTAACTTTTTTTAATGGGTGCAGATTTACGTCAGCAATTGCGACGTCATCTGTAAACTTTTCCTCCGGGTTTGACTCATCCACCGGAAACCGTGCGCATAAAACATTATTGCTGTCGGCCCAAATTGCGGTCGGCCCCGATCGATGTTGTGGCCCAAATTGCGGTCAGCCCCGATCGAGTATAATGGGCTTACTCTTAATCAATGGGTTTTGACAGAAATAATATCAATTCTATGGGCCCATGTCCACTAATCAAACATAGGCATTTTTCTTTCTTGGAGCAATAGTTATGTTGTGCGTGCACACGGTTGCAAAACGACGTCGTTTGACTAAAAATGCGTGTCTCATTTAAAAAAAAAAATTCAGTTTCGATTCTCCTCAACAGCTTATTGTGGATATATAGTTATGAATTATTGTGGATATATAGTTATAAATTTTTGGATATATAGTTATGAATTTATGGATATTTAGTTCATTCATTGTGGATATTTAGTTTATTCATTGTGAATATTTAGTTCATTCATTTTGGGTTTTGTGTTATTCATTCATTGTGGATATATAGTTATGAATTTGTGAATATATAGTTATGAATTTGTGGATATATAGTTATGAATTTGTGGATATATAATTCAAATTATGCACAAAAAAATGTTATTGCCGAAAATCGAACCTGAATTTTTTTTTTTTTAAGAGGGACGCGCGTTTTTAGTCAAAACAATGTCATTTTTGCAACCGTGTACACCATACTTGGTGCACACGGTTGCACAACATAATTTGTGTTCTTGGAGTAAAGACTAAAAATGGGCTTTCTTGTATAGTCTTCTTCTCCCAAATACAAATTGGCTAGGATTAGAATACAAATTATGTAATATGTATATATAGTGAGATTTTACATTCATTAGGCAAGTAATTTTTTTTTCCAGTAATTGTGAAATTGTCGATTTCTCTATTCACAATACTTATATGAATATTTTAAGAGCTTTAGTGCCATTATATCGCAATTTTATTACTTATTGAATTAATTGGACTCTCAAACCTTTGGTAACCCAGGTTCAAAATCTAATAGGTCTATTATTATATATACAAATTTAAGAATATATATAAAAATTGATTATTAATTTATTTTAAAAAGTTATGAATCGAATATCATAAAATAAATAATATAGTGTATATTGTATTATAAATTTAAAAATTAGAGTTGGTTGAATGTGTTAAGTGTCATATAACTTATTGTTTGTCCGTTGTTAATAAGTTGTTTTAGATCCAACTAAGCTAAATTGGTCTATATCAAGTAAGCCATTGACTGATAAACAGTTTGTGACGGTTATAGCACATACATAATCAAAATTGCCACATGTAATATATCATTATTAATTAATAAAGTGTTTTTGGCATATATAATTACACTTGCATTATAGTAATGTAGTAAATCCAAAGCTAGCTTTTGGATACATTATAAATATGCCAACTTGAAAAATTGAACTCCAAGCCCACAATCTATGAAAACCCAAAGTAAAACCGTGTTGACATTCGTATATGAATAGTTCTATTTTCTGTCAGGTATCAATTTGGGTGAATTCAACATTCTATCATTGAAATATAACGTTAACTACTACATAAGTACCAAAAAAAAAAAAAAAAAATCACATTTGTTACTAGTTATAATTTTGAAATAGAGATAAACGCTTGATTATGGCATTTCCTCCTTTTGAATTTACTTGATAAATTTGCATTTTAATGCAATAATAAAATTCTCCATAATATATATATATATATATATATATATATATATATATATATATATATAGATGTAGCAAAATAGTGATGGTGAGTGTACGATATTAATTG